CTGTAAGTCTGGAAGAAAAGGGTATGTGAAGTGTTAGGTTGCAGTTTGCCTGGGGATGTAAGCATGCTTTTGTGGCGGCTGTAAGTTGGGACACTTGGACTTGTCCCTGTCACAGACTTGTCAGCCCCACTCGCTTGGCCACACTGGTCTACGTGAGCAGCACTGTGGCCTCCTCTGTTCGCTTTGTCCAAGTTGTAAGCCGTGGCTACATGCTAGGAAGTGTACTAGATTAACAACATCCATGTATCACCAAATGGGTTGTTAATAATAGCTGCTGTTATAACAAAGTGACATACTGTTATGGCACCAATAATTAATACCATTCGACCCTGATTCATTAAGTAACCCCAGGTTCTCGTCATCGCTGATGCCAGAAATGGGCGATGGAGACAGTCCCTGTGTTCTAACCAGTGAGCCAGCAGTGTGGGGCCTGCAGTTGGAAGTGCGTGCTGTGTTCATGGGAGCGTAGGTGGCTAGGGTTTAGACTTCGTAGATTATAGTAAGGCTGTTAGCTGTCAAGCAGGGCAGTAAGACACCAAAGAGTCTCAAAAGAGCTGAGGCTGTTACCCATGGTTAGGACCTCCAAACTCTCGTCTGGTTACAGAAATGACTTTGAAGCCGCCATGGCTGAGGTTGAGGCTGAGGAGGCTGCTGCCCCCAGGCGGGAGGAGGTAGTAAGAGTCGACCTGGAAAAGAGAGAGGAGCCAAGATCTTCAGAGGTGAAGTTGACAGGAATGGCTTAGTGCTGGGGTTTGAGGGAGGACACTGTGGTTTGTGTCCTTAGCAGAGCTTTGATTCTGGGCCTACTCGCTGGCATTGGGGTGGTGATGGAATCTGACTCTCTCTCTCTCTCTCTCTCTCTCTCTCTCTATATATATATATATATATATATATATATATATATCCTTTCAGTATATGTGTGTGTCCAGTGTATTTTGTATTTATAAATGTATGTATGCACATACACTATTTTTTATATCTGATTTTTTTATATATATGTATATATAATATACAAAATACACTGAATACACACATACTGAGTGGAAATACCTGGGAAGCATCCAAGTTGGAATGTTGTGTAGAGGTGAATGATAAGGGTCTGGAACCAAAGAGTAGATGACATGTATGAGGTAGATGACCAAGAAGCTTGATGTTAGAGACGTAGTTGCTATTGCTTGGGGAAGTACTTGTTGTTAGAGGTGTGGTTGCTATTGCTTGGGGGAAGTGGGTTTCGCCCTTTCCTGCGTCTTGGAATCATTGGCACTTTGAATTCCAGGCATTGTAGTTTAAGGTCCCGGGGTAAGCTTGCAGAATGGGGTTTGCGATGCTTCCCCAGTAATACTAGTGTGTAAGCAAGACAGAGAGGAGCCAGGTCAACCTCAGGTGTCTATCAGAGAAGGGTGAAACCCGGCCTGTGGACTACCTACAGGGGTCCAGAAAGGCGGGGAGCAGCCGTATGGGAATAGAGAACAAGTGTCTGGCTGCCAGGATGTGAGAGGATTTGCGTTTAGCGGTATGGACTGCGTTCTGGAACCAGAAGAGCTCTCCGTGGAAGGCTTTGAGCAGAAGCTGCTTGCAGAGAGCTGAAACTGAGGTCATTGCAATAGGTGTAGACAACATCTAAAAACACCCGAGGGAAGAGGCTTAGTGCCTACAAGGTTGTTTTAGGTCTAGGTAACGGGTTGAACTGGCTTGAACGGTGAAGAAATGTAATTTCCAGGCTCCAGAAGAAAGTGTCTTTAAAGTGTAAGTGATAGCTCTGTATTGTCATCTAAGACACCTATGTTTGCAGCCTGACTTGGTCAGGAAGCCGCCACTCTACTGCTGTGGTGGCATGCTGACACTTGAGACCGCAAGCCGTCACATTCTCCAGCGGAAGGAAGAGAAAGTAGGTTTATTGTGACCTTGTCAGAAGGATACGTATATCCCAAGGGAGTAGACTGAATTCTCGGAAGCCAGCACCCAAATCTCAACAGAGCCCAGGCACCTCTCCCTGGAATATTTGCCTAAACTTCATTGAGTAGTTTCATTTTTTGTTTTTCAAGACAGGGTTTCTCTGTCTAGCTTTGTAAACCAGGCTGGCTGAGAACTCACAGAGGTCCAACTGTCTCTGCCTTCCCTTCCTGAGTGCTGGGATTAAAGGCCTGTGCCATGACCACCTGGCGGGTAGTTTTATTTATTATGCAAAGTAAATGGGATCATGTACTCATGTACTGTGTTCTCCTGTGTGTGGCGCTCATCACTGTTGTGGGGGCGGGGTCCGTGTTGTTGCACATGCTTGTAAAGTATTCACCTGTTGCATGAATATACCATATTTTGCCCGTTGTATCATGATGGGCATTTTGGTACGTTTCTGGACTTGGCTGTTAGTGGTATCAGTCTCTGTGGAGTGAACAATCAGGCAGGGACAGGGCGTACTTGTGTCCTGCCATAGCCCATAGCTTTGCTGTGACGGCATCATTTAGTGTACTGGGGGTTAGAGCTTGGGTCTGTGTCCTCACCAGCACTTGTAACCCTTCATTTTAGGAGTGGCATGAGCCTAGTGCTGGCCTGCACTTCTGTACGTTGGTTAAGGATGCTTGATCATTTTCTCGTGTACTATTGTATCAGGGTGTCCTCTTGTGAAGTACTTTGTTGCCTTTTGTTACCTTCGCCCCTGCGTTGAATGCAGCTGTGACACTTGTGCTCCGGATGCAGTCGCTGAGACACAGGATTGCAAGTGTGTCTCCACTCCCTGTGGCCTGCCCTTTCAAGCTGTTCCAGGGGTGGATGAAATGGTTCAGTGGGTGGCAGTTGCCACCAAGCTGGAAAATCCCAGGTTGCACACTAGAAGGCTAGAACTGCACTCAGCCCCCCTTCTACAGCACACAACACTGTTACTTTTTAATACAGTGCGGCTTCCCAGATTCTTCCTTCCAGCGTCAGTGTTCAGGCACCTGTGCTGGCCTGTCCCTGGGGCTCTGACAGGACACGCCCTCAGTGCAGCCCCGAGAGCACAGTGCGCATTCACTGTGTTCCCTTTAAAGGAGTCCCGCCCACCTCCCCCCTCTCTCCCTCTCCCCCTTTCCCCTCTCCCCCTCCCTCTCTCCCTCTCCCCCTTTCCTCTCCCCCTCCCCCTCTGTCTCTGTCTCTCTCTCTCTCCCTCTCCCCCTTTCCTCCTCCCTCCTGCAGCTCCTGTCTCTGGAGGCCGGTTCCCCCTTCCCTTTCCCCATTTTATGATCCCTTTCACTAATTGAAAAATAAAAACAAAACAAACCCTCTGTTTGAGCCCTGTCTCATGTAGCTTTCTCTTGAACACTGCTTTTCTTGAATTGTAACAGTAAGCACTTCTTGTGTTGTGTTTATAATCCTTTCTGCTCTAAGGCCACCAGGATGTTCTGTTTCTCTAGAGTTTGACTGGTTTTTGTTTTTTAAACGTTAGGTTGCTATTAGGGTTTGCAGCCTCCGGAGCTTGGTTTTGCTGTTAAGCATGGGGAGCATTTGACATTTGAGGGTGTCTTAAGTGGCTCAGCCCCATTTGTGAAAAGCATTTGCCCATGAACTGTGCTGATACTGCTGTCATAGATTAGTTTGCATGGAGTCTCCTGCCCGTTGCTCCATCCTGTGCTGGTGGTCCACTTGCCTATCTTTAGGGGCTTTGCTATTTTGCTTTTTCCTTTTTAGTATTTTGGTATATGCCTTTGTGGATATGAATGTTTGGTGGTGTGCTATCTCATTTTGTTCTTTTTAATTTCTGAAGTGCAGTGAATTGATGTGTGTGACTATGAGATGATAAATTAGTGAATTCACACCAGACATCTAAACCGGGGAGGTGGAAAACGTTGAGAAGATAAAATACTCAGGCCAGAGAGAAGGGCGGTATGAGCCCACAGGAGAGAGCAGGGTGTGAACCAGTGCTTTAGGAATGTGTGAGCTCACGGGAGAGAGCAGGGTGTGAACCAGTGCTTTAGGAATGTGTGAGCTCACAGTAGAGAGCATGGTGTGAACTAGTGCTTTACTAATGTGTGAGCTCACGGGAAAGAGCAGGGTGTGAACCAGTGCTTTAGGAATGTGTGAGCTCACGGGAAAGAGAGCAGGGTGTGAACCAGTGCTTTAGGAATGTGTGAGCTCATGGGAGAGAGCAGGGTGTGAACCAGTGCTTTAGGAATGTGTGAGCTCATGGGAGAGAGCAGGGTGTGAACCAGTGCTTTACTAATGTGTGAGCTCACGGGAGAGAGCAGGGTGTGAACTAGTGCTTTACTAATGTGTGAGCTCACGGGAGAGAGCAGGGTGTGAACCAGTGCTTTAGGCACCTGGACATTTTTGCAAGGTGCTGAGTTCTATATGGATGTGGTGAGGACTTGGGGAACACATGTCCTAGAAGGCACAGATGCCACGAGACAGACCAGACGGAGGTGTGCATCTTTTTTTGCCTGACTGTTGCTAATTTAGTATGTACCTCAACAGATGGGCTAGACCAGAGTCACCTTCCCTTTCCTACAGATTGAAGAGTGGGCTCAGAGCCAGTGACATTCTACAGACCTTTCCACGGGGCTGGCCTGAGACCATCAATGAGAAACACAGATGTTCATATTCCATTTATAACTGTGGTTGGGTCACCATGTGTGAAGGGTTGCAGCCTTACAACGGTTGAGAAACACTGTTCTAGACTATGCTGACATTGTGTGAAAGGCTTGGGAGTTGCTTTGTTGATAATCAGTTTTGTTAAGAGACAGAAATAGTATAGGAAATCATGTTGGAGAGATACATAAGGAAGGCTCTGGAAATAGCAAACCTCATCCCTGGGTACTTGTGATGCGATCGGGTGACCTCTCCTCCTTTGTTCTATTTTTCTGCATTTTCTAACTTTATTACAGTGGACATTTATTATATGGATTAAAGTCTTTTGATTAGATTATATTTGAAAAATTGACAACGCGCAAATAGGTACTTGATAAATAGTACTTTCACAGTAAAAGAATGGGATGTTTAAATGCTTTATTTCTTGTTCTTCTTTTCAGAAATGCGCTTAGTGATGGAAAGAGGGCCATTGTTTTGAAGAACACCTGGCCAAAGGTAGGCTTCTTCTGTGTTGTACAGTGAGCAAGCCTTGAACCTTCACTGCATGGGTACCGATCTGTGGGATAACGTATTTGTACCAGGAAATGCTAGGTGACATCACAGAGCGCTCAAGAACAGGAAATGGGTTCGTGCATTCACTGAGTTCAAAGCTTGGCTGTGGGAGGGGAAGGGAAGGAGGCCTGGGAAGAGGGAGCGTGATCGAGAGACTCCTGTTAGCCTAAGGGTTGGAATGGTGTCCCAGAGCTCCTCCCAAGTTCTATTGAGTGACACCATGCACAAAATCGACAGCAGAAAACTTTGTCACTCAGACTTGTGAGGACGTGAAAGCACTTAGGCTAGCGAGGTCACGGTTGTGGGGACCTCAGGTATAACTGACAGCGTTTAGGTACTGCGCATGCGGAGTGCTCTGAAAGCAAGCGGGAAGCCTGGTCAGAGGGTCAACAGAAAACGAGGATATTCTCACAGCAGATTTATCTGGAATGGCAGTAGGAACGAAATGAAGGCTGCAGAGACGTCTGTGGTGAGGAGAGCTTGCTGCTCTTGCGAAAGAATGGAGTTCAGTCTCCTGCGCACAAGGCAGGGGGCTCACACCTGCCTGTAACTGCAGCTCCAGGGGGTCCTCATACCCCACACCCTCTTCTGGACTCCCACACACGCACCACACACACACACGCACCACACACGCGCACCACACACACACACGCACCACACACGCGCACCACACACGCGCACCACACACACACACGCACCACACACACACGCACCACACACACACGCACCACACACACACGCACCACACACACACGCACCACACACGCGCACCACACACGCGCACCACACACACGCACACGCACACCACACACGCACACCACACACGCACCACACACACACGCACCACACACGCGCACCACACACACACACACGCACCACACACGCGCACCACACACACACACACGCACCACACACGCGCACGCACACATACATAAAACAATGTAAATAAATGTTTTTGAAAATGAGGAACTTTGCTCTATTTCTAATAAAGTTGTAGGGGATAAAATAGAGAAAAGTCCAAATGGAAGAGAGCAGGGATCTAAGGAACACAGACCACCACACACAGCTACTAGCAAATAAGGCCATCATCAAAGCACTGGTGTTTACGGGAGCCCGAGGGTCCTGGGATGTTCTCATTGGGCAGTAACAGGAATCCAGCAGACTGATGGGAATGTGATTCGCATATAACACACTTGGGAAGGAGCTCCATAATTACTGTGTTCTGTATGCATACACCTTAGAAAATTACTCGATCTATGTGTACCATAACAGTTCTTGATTTCATGTGCATGCACCGTAGAAATTCTTTTGCATAAGTGCACATGGTAAAATGTACAAAGTCATTGAAGCATTTTTTATTTTCAGTTTTGGTTTTACACTGATTGACTGACTGTGGTAGTGGTGATTGAACCTAGAGGCTCACACACTGGCAGATGCCCAGCCACTCAGCATTTGTTTGTTTGCTTGAGACAGTGATTTCACTGGAGTGCTCCGGTCCAGGTCCCTTCCCGCCTTTCTCCTGAGTAGCAGAGATTGCTGGTGTCTGTCAGCAGGCCTGTCTTACAGCATTGTTCTTGGCCAGCTGTCCTGAGGTGAAGCAGTAGTGGGCGTCCTATCTTCCCTTGGTCAGAGTTGTTTCTTCAGTCTCTCTGATGTGCTCGAGTCTTGAGCGCTCTTACCCCCGCCCACCCCCGCCTGTTCTTTCTCTGATTCACTCCGCTGGCTTTGGCCTCTTCACTTCTCGAACGTGTGGCACCCACTTCACTTTCCTGCTTCTGTATCTTGGATTTTCCTGCACCTCTGCTTAGCTATTTTATTGCTGTCGTTCTCCCTTAGTCAGCTGTCTCCTGATCACACGAGAGCGCCAAGCCTGGCCCTGGCAGGCTTCTCAGAGTCTTTTCTTTCCTTCCTTTCCCCTTCTAGCATGAAACATTTTATTTTAAACAGATCACGTGTCTGGGTAAGGAACGTTCTAAGGCAAAGGTTCTGTGATTCACTCTAGAACCCGTCTGAAAGGCTCCGTGGTTCACTCTAGAACCCGTCTGAAGGCGCTGTGATTCGCTCTAGAACCTGTCTGAAGGGTCCGTGATTCGCTCTAGAACCTGTCTGAAGGGTCCGTGATTCGCTCTAGAACCTGTCTGAGGGCGGCAGTAGCCGGTTAGAGTGACGCAGCAGAGGACCTCGAGCACACTGCCACACAGTCACAGCTCACGGTAGTGACAGCAGCAGGCGCTGCCACTGCTTCTGGCTTAGTGAATAAAGTATCAAATAATGACTGTGTTGGAAATAAGTTGGCTGGCTTGTGCACATTTATGCATTTTAAAAGGAGTATTAAATGAAAAGAACAAAAGCAAGCATAACATAGGAGAATACTTACTCTTGATAGTCTGCTTCTGGGTGGGAAAGGGAAAGGACATTATCAATTTACCAAGGAGATTGTAGTTATGTCTATAGTTTCAGTAAATAAAAGAGAACCTGAAACGTACATAACTTGCTGAAGCATAGTCTCTGTGTCTGTTATATTAGTCTCTGATTTCCTAAGTCTTAAAATCATTTCTTTTAAATGGGGCTTTAGGGCAGCTGATGTGGACATCAGGTAAAGACACTTGCCATGCGTACTTGACGACTTGAGTTCCTGTCATTGAAGGATATAACTGACTCCTGAAAGATGTCCACTGGCTTCCACGTGTGCCCTATGGCATGTGTGGCCCTGTGCGCGCTCACGCATGCGCGTGCGCACACACACACACACACGCACACATGCACGCACACAGGCTTCCTCACCCACACAGTGAGTGTTGCAGCTGTGTGGAGGGGCTCAGTATCTTTGCCATTTTTATAGTGAGCCACTCTTGCTTGAGGTAGAATCTTTGTTGATCACTGACACTTGCATTTGGCAAATATTAAATAAATATTTGTACAAGTAGTGAGTGATAGAATTCTTACTACTAAAACCCAAGATCATACTAGTTTTCCAAATGTCTCTTGTGAATTTTTTGGGAGTATTAAAACTTCCTTTATTTTTTTTTTCTTCACTGAGTCAGAACCTCTCTGAGTGCTTAATGCTCCCTAACCTGTGACAGCCCAGGGAGGAGTTTTTGTATTCTCTCTCTGGGCTCCTACCTTATTACCTCAAGTTGTTCTGTGTTTCTCGTTCCTTCCGGTCAGTCTCTTGTTATTCCATCTTAGCTGAAAGTATACACTAGGCCTAGGCTTCTTGATTTTACATACTTTTTCCATGTAGGACAGGAGCAGCCTTCAAACCGTAGCTGCGGCCCCGGGAAAAAGAGCCCTCAGTTATCTGTGGTTAATCTAAAGGGTAGTCCTGACTGAGTGGCTGCTTGCTGCCTGTAGACTAATCAGTGTCCTGGAAGTTGGCCCCTCCCCTGGATCACGGCCATGATGTCGCTCCACAGTATTGCCAGGGTAGTGTACTTGATGGCCTCTGGTTGAAAGCATGGGAGAGCGACAAGTCTTGGGGTTAAATGTCATAGATAAGCAGAGGCTCAAAGGCAGAACAGAAGCTTAGTAATTGGTTTCCAGAAAGAGATAAGTTTAATCTTAATTCAGACAACTTCAGCAAAACCTCTGAGAGACCCTTGCAGTCAGCAGGAGTTGCACTGGGTTTTATAGTATCTCAGGGAGAATAGCGAAGGTCGCTGGGGAGTGATGGATAACATTCCCGCAGGTTTGGGTTGTGTATGGCCTCACTTCCTGAGTTGTGGTTTTCTCTTTTAAAGTGCTTGTGTAAACCCTGAAGGTGATCAATGCCTAGAGGTAGGATTTTGACCTTGTAGTGTGTCTGAGGTCTCTCAGTTGTCAAGAAATAGAGCGCACACCCTCAGGGACAAGCTGTGTTTAATGGGGTGCCATCTGAATCAGTATCTTCGATCTAACACTAGATAGTCTGCCTAAAACTTCTTTAGAAGTCACGGACAGGTCCCAAGGATGAACAGAATCTGCACACACATGTCACTGACTCTGTTAATGAGAATTGATGCTTCTTTAAAGGAATACCTTTCTTTTTTTAAATTCTGTTTTCTTTTGGATTCTTGTTAAAAAGAGTGTTCTCTGTAAGATAAATTGTAAATAAGAAGATTCTGGACCAGGTGTCAGGAGTCAGGTTCTTTGTGTAACATGCTGTAGCTTCAAGCCTTACTGCTAAATCATCTTCTAATAGGTTAGTTCCTAAAATGGGAGTTTGGTGTGTGAGTAGCTCAGAGAGATGTGTTCTATTATCATTCTAGAGTATAAAGTTAATGTTCAGAGCCAGAAAGGACTTTTAAGTTTGGTGATGATTAAAATCCTTGACGTTGGAATGAAGAGTAATAAAAGCAGTGGCTTCCAGACCCCTCTTGCATCTGGAGACTGCGCTGAGAGATGAAGCAGCTCAGAAGAACAGTGCTGAGAGGTGGCCTTGTCACAATTCTCTCTTGTCTCTGTCTCCTTGGAAGTGTTGGTGAAATGCCATACATGCTGACGGGCCCTTCCAGCTCCAGGAAGGAACCTTTGACTTCCAAAGAGTAGGGATGTCAAGACTTACAGACTTACCACATTCAAATATTTTTTTGGGGGAAAAAAGTTGCTTACTTATAACCAATAACTTCTATTCTTTTTTTCTTTTTTTTTTAGCTAAAATAATTATTTTGTTCCTTAATAGTAAACTATAACAAAAGTTAAATTATTTTCTGGGAGTTCAGAAACTTGAAAATAATGGTTTTAGGTTAATAATTAAACTTTATTTGCTTATTTATAACTTTTTACTTTAGCTTGTTAGCCATTTTATTTTCTGGGATGTTAGTATTTTAATTTATTTTTCATAGGCCTAAAGTAATCCATTTCAACCAAAATATTTTTCCTTATCTATCTTCTTTAACCTGAGCATATTTTTTGAGAAAAAAATTGAATTTATCTTTTTGGAACAGGGTCATTATCGTTATTGTGATGCTCTTTGTATGCTGGGGGAATATGACTGGGCCCTGCAAGCAAACATAAAAGCTCAAAAACTGTGTAAAAATGACCCTGAGGGAATCAAGGATCTAACACAGCAGCATGTAAAGTTACAAAAACAAATAGAAGACCTGCAAGGTATTTCACCTAAGATTCTTTCGGTTACAGTCGATTCCCTTTAACCCTTAGAAATGGATCTCGTGGGTTAATGGATCTCGTGGGTTAATGGAGGGCCGTGCCAGGGCCTCACACGGTTTGTACTTGTGCTATGCTATCTTGGTGAGGTCTCTCTTGCACTCTGTTTCTGTCTGTAGAGTTACGATAGTGCTGTGTTCAGCTGGGTAATTAAAAATGCTTGTCTATTTGAAACACAATAATCAAGTTTGTATTTGTTCTGTAGAAAAATACCCCTTCTTGCACTGTCTGATAAGCTTTTAAGAGAAAATTTTTTTTCATTAATTTCCTAAGAAAAGGCCCTTTAGTATTGCTTGATGTTTTTTGTACCAACTTTGCAACTGATTATGTAGCATGCTGAGCATCTATCATATCTATCCATCTGTCTATCTAGCATCTGTCAATAATCATCTCATCTATCTAATCTATCGTCTATGTAATCCATCCATCCATTATCTACCATCTATCTATCATTATCATCTATCACCTATCTATCTGTCCATCCGTCTAACCCATCCATCTATCCACCATCTAAATATCATCTATCTATCTAATATCTATCTGTCTATCATCTATCTATCTAATATCTATCATCTATCTAATATCTATCTCCTATCTATTATTTATCTAATATCTATTATCTATCTGTCATTTATCTATCTAATATCTATCATCTATCTATTACCTAATATGTATCTATCATCTATCCATCTGTCTATCTATCTAATATCTATCTCCTATCTATTATTTATCTAATATCTATTATCTATCTATCCATCTATTATCTATCTATCATTTATCTATCTAATATCTATCATCTATCTATTATCTATCTAATATGTATCTATCATCTATCTATCATCTATCCATCTGTCTGTCTATCTAATATCTATCTCCTATCTATTATTTATCTAATATCTATTATCTATCTATTCATCTGTTATCTTTCTATCATCTATTTAATATCTATTATCTATGTATCATCTATCTATCTAATATCTATCTCCTATCTTATTATTTATCTAATATCTATTATCTATCTATCCATCTATCATCTATCAACTATCTATTATCTATCTATCAACTATCTATCATCTATCTAAGAAATTAGCTGTGCTGATTAGGAGTTTTGAGTTCTCACTTACAGTTATTCATTTTTACCCTAGTTTTTCTTTCCTTACTTGTTTTTCTTTCTCTGATACTTAAAATTCCTGTTTCACTTCCAGCATGTAGATCTTTCTTGTGTTGTTTTTCCTTTGGCATTCAGTGTCTGCCTAGCTGAGCTGAGCAGTTCTGCTTATCCAGCAACTCTTATCATCCAGAATAATGCAGTTCTAAGATTGTGAGCTCCTTGAAGACAGGTGCTACCTGGTTCATATTTATGTGTTGCTGGCATCTTATTCATGATCATATATAATGGATATCTGACAAGATCATGCAGTTTGCGGACACTTTGAAGTTAAAAGCATCTAGAATTGTGAAAGTGCTAGGATTTACTTTTCAGCTTTCAAACTTTAATGTTTTCAACTGTCAGCTTAAAAGAAATAAGAAAATATTTTTAAAGTCTGTGCTGCCATTCTATTGATTATGTGTGTATGGTTCGCTTTCATAGGTCGGTCATCGAATAAGAATCCACTTAAAGCTTTTTATGAAAGCAGGTAAGTGAATATCAGGTCAGTGCCTGCTATTTGAAAGCTTTTCCCCATGAATTTAAGAATCACTGTTTGCCAGTTCAGCATCTAATAGTGACTTTTATGTGTGGTGCTGTAGGTCGAGCCTGGGCCTTACACATGCTAGGCAGTGCACTGCTGCTGAGCTGTGTGTCCTCAGTCCCGTAGTGACAGCTCGTCTTAGGGATGGAGAGGGGCTTGTTTGAATGTTTGGGGTGGGGGGTGCTTAACATCCGCATGCACATATGTACAGGCAAGCCTATCTTCCCGTCTTAAAACTGGTGACTTGGGAGTTCATTGCTCTGCTGTTTTTCTGGGCTTTTTCAATATATATAGTCTACGTATGTGGGAACAGAATAGCAAGGGATTTTAAAGTTGCCTGACATAAGTGGGTTACAGTGTGGCCATGTGGGTCCTGGCCAAGTGGCCAGAGATGGCATTTGTGCCTGTCACTTCCCAGTGTCTTTTGAAGGCTACATGTAGACAGAGCATGGTTATAGGTAAAGAAATAGTAGCCAGGGTTCTATGTTTGATCATTGGCAGTTAAAACAGATTGGGGAGGGGAAAGAATATGGTCAAAATACACTGTATGGGAATTTAAAAGTACTAAGAAATGTGATAAAATTAAAATAGATGAAGCTTTTCCTCAGGCTTGTTTAGATGCACGGTTATCTAACCGGGACAGGGAGATATAGTTATTTCCTGTTAGAGCCAGAGCCAGTCTTAGTTTTAGCTCAGTTTCAGGTGGAAAGTGCTGGTGTGTAAAGCCCATCTTAGCGGATGTCTTTCAGACATGACACTTGGCTTTCCGGACACAAGGGCTGTGGTGCTGCAGGGTGTTTGAAGCCATTTCCGTTGTGCCGGTGTATGAATGATGTGATGTCTTCTTGTGTATCACCCCAGGGCTTATATTCCTAGAAACTCATCAGCACCTGCTTTTAGAACGTCACTTAACTTTGTGGAAACAGAAAGAGGTTACAGAAAAACTAAGTACAAAATGGCAAATGGTGGCAGTCAGAATCTAAAGGTAAGCGTAGCTAACCCTGTGGTCATTTCAGGTATGTGCAGCCTCCCTTTCACACTGATGCTTTGGTGCAAGATGTTTCCAGCTCTACTCTCTGTTTTTACCAAGAAAAATGATTCTCCCACGTCAGGCAACATAAAGATGATGTTCAAATGTCTCATATCTACCTTGAAATCACAGTTGTGTGTTTTAAAATCAATTTTCCAAATACTGTTTTGTCACTTAGCTTTGTCTGTATCTCAGCCTGTCTCTTGGAAATGGTGACACCAGAGTCTGGTGGCTGCTGTGGCTGTCGCTAGAGTCTAGTAGCTTTTTCCAAATCCCGTACAGTCGTTTTGTGGATAACAGAGAAAATGTTCAGAGAATGTCATTCAGTTAGCGGGAGAGGTGAACAGGCATTTTTGGACAGGCCTCACAGTAAGTGTCAGAAAGAGGGACGTCATTCAAGAATTGCCATTGATTTCTCATTGTTTAGTTACCATGGTGTTTGCTTGTTCATACATTTAGGCTTCATAACCAGCTGTGTATTTTTAGGTGCTTGAGTGAATCCTATCATATTTTAGTTTAAATTCTGTTTCTTATATGATTGCTGACACTTTGGCTCTGTTGCTTTTCAAATCTCACTAGTGTTATTTTCACGGGCAGGTGGCAGATGAGGCTTTGAAGGGAGACGATTGTGACTGTCATCCGGAGTTTCTGCCACCTCCAAGTGAGTAGCTTTTCACTGGCGCTCCCGCCCAAAGCCTGCCTGAAAGTTGTGCAAGCTTCACTTGGTTGTTTTGTTCTTTTTTTAACGGGACAGTACTTTCAGTAACCTTTAACACCGGAAAGGAGTAACAATGCGCTGTCCACCTCCTCATCCCTGTAGCGACATTGAGTGCCTCGTGCAGGTTAGCTGTAAGAGAGGTCTGTTTTGGCTCAAGATTCTGAGGGGTCACAACGTTTGCTGCTTATGTTGGCTCAGCTCTGCTGAGGGCTGTGGCTGGCTGGCGTTGGCCGGAGACCAGGAAGCCACGAGGGGAGTAAGGGGAAAGACGAAGCTGAAGCCCCGTAGCACCTCTCGATTGCCCACAGTGACTGACACAGAGGCCCCCCCTCTGCCGCCTGGGAGCTTGGCGAGACTGAACTGCAGCAGTTGTTTCTAGAAATCACTGAGGGGCCTGAAGAGAGGTCTCAGCAGTGAAGAGCTCCTGTGCTCTTCTAGAGGGCTCAGATTTCATTCCTAACACCCGTCCGTAACTTCTGTTCCAGGGGCTCAGGCACTAGGTACTCAGATGGTGTGCATGCATGCGTGCAGGAAAGACGCTCGTATACCCGAAATAAACCTATAAAAGCAAAGACAGCGTTGAGGTATAGGAAGATGCTCAGTTGGTATACAGAGCACAGTGGAATGAAGTGAGCACATTGAGTTACATGATAGATAAGGTCTGCATATTCCAACGTCCGTCTCCACATGGCCTGTCCCTCAGCAGTTCCAGCTGCAGCTGAAGGCCTCAGGACCCCTGGAAGCCACTGGTCGCCCATGGCCTTGGGTTGCTGAAGAAGCTGCAATCTAATATTAGTGAACATACCTGTACTAGCTGAAGTTGCCCATTTGACTTGAAGGCAAACAGATTTCCTTTTAACTGGCTGCCTCCAGAGGGCGCTGCCCACACTAAGGGCGGGTCTTCTCCCGGGTCAAGAACGTCTTTTACAAAAATACCTGATGATAACTTGCCGGTCAGGTTGACAATCAAGGTTAACTACCACAGTTGGTAAAGTGATTGTTGCACACACATGAGCACCCGAGTTTGATTCCCCCCAACGCCTATCAGAGACAGGAGTAGCAGTGTGTGCTTATGATACTTATCACTGGGAGGTAGAGACGGAGGTTTCTTCAGCCAATTTAGCTGAATCTGTGAGGTCCAGGTTCAGGGAGAGACCCATCTTAGAAGACTCCCAGCACTGAATGCTGACCTCCACATACAGGAACAAGAACACACTAACAAATGGGAAAGGTCATTGGGTATTTATTTCAAATGAATTCTGGCCTTTCATATTTTTAATACATTTAGTTTTATAAATGCATTAAAAGTAATATAAAGATAAAACTCATTGCTCTTCCTTGTTTCCCCTTAATTTCCCTTAGGCTATTGTCTCTCATTATTGAGAGTTTTTACCATTCTCTAACAATAGGAATCCTTTTAAGTATTTTTTCCTTAATTGGTCTCCCTCATAAAATTTAACACCATAGGAATTCCTTTTAATTTTTGAGACAGGGTCTCAGTCTGTAGCCAAGGTTGGCCTCACTCGTTTACAAAGATTATAGAAACCACCGTACCAGGCTTACATCTATCTTTTTTTTTTTTTTTTCCTTTTTCAAGACAGATGGGTTTTCTTTGTAGTCCAGGCTGTCCTAGAACCCTGTGTAGACCAGGCTGACCTCGAACTCGAGCCGGGATTAAGGGTCACACCACCACCACTGCCCCAGCTTGGATCTGGTTTTTCTATATAAAAAGTACTGTTTGTTGTTCTGTCAAAACATCAAATTTTGACTGTTTAGAGATGATTTTACCCTGTTTAGAAAAGGTGTTTTTCCATTTAGAATAATATAGCAAAAATTCCACGAGCATGGGTAGTGTATTTCTGTGGGCTGAGAAATCGGGTGTCTAATGAAGCTCTTTCCATGGTTCATAGATGGCTGTGTTCTTGTCTGCACACGTGCTGGAAGGGTGAAGCATCTAACCAGGGCCTTGTAGAAAGGTGTGACATCATTTGTGACCTGATCACTCCTTTGACGGTTCTACATCCTCACATTAAGTTTTCAACACTTGACTCGCACAGAGCTGGGCTTTCACTTTTGGAGAACATGACTTAGTTTAGTTGTGTGTGTTACCTGCATGTATTGTCCTGTGGATGACATGTGAGCATGCGTGTGCCATGTACTTGTGTGTCTCCTTCTGTTGGTGTACTCTGATGAAAATCTCACTACAGTGGATTTGTATACGTCTCTGCTTCTTACAACTGAGTCTAAGGAAATACAGACTTCCTTGATGGTTGGAGGCTGTTAAACACAACAGTCACGCTCCTCCCTCATGCTGCCATTCACGGTGCTCCCGTTGGGCTGTAGCTGCCTTGCAGTGGTGGTGGCTGCACATGGCTCTCTGCTCTTTCCCCTGTCTGCTGCTTTCTCTTTCCAGTGGTTTGGCTCCTGCCGGTCATTTTTATCTCTCCTGCCTGCAGTTCCCGTTTTCACATACCTAGTGACTTAATTAGAGGTAGGAGTTTCCATGTGGTTAACATGTTGAACTTGGACTGTTGGAAGGTCAGGCCATTTTCTTACCTAATGTAACCTAACAGCATGTGAAGTATCTTTAAGGATAACACTTTGAAAGTTTAAAAAAAAAAAAAAAATTATCAGGTAGCACCTACACATAATTTTAATATTGTCCATCCATCAGCGTTTATATTCAGGCAAAGAAAGTGAGAGGTCCCAGAATTAGTTTCATAGCTTTGTCCATGCTCATACGGCAGAAAGGAAGTTCCCAGCACCCCTTGGAGGTCATAACCATGGGTAACTGCAGCCACAGGAGCTGCAACTCCTCTTCTGACTGCCACTGGCAGCTAGTATTTCTGAAATGAATGCCAGTCTTGGGTTGAGTAGTTTTTCCATATCCTGCTTATTCTTCAAAACCAAACAGCTTTTCCAAAATACTCCAGCTAAAGTGATTATCCTCCCTTCTGTGAGTTAGAGAGAAATTACTGACTATGGAATTAATATGTAAATGGCAACTTAGTGTGTCTTGGGTTTTTTTGTTGTTGTTGTTTTGTTTTGTTCTTTTGGCAATGGCTTGTTACTAAAGTGACTTGTGTTTCTTCCAGTCCACTTGTAGACTCCCTGAGAGCAGTAACTGTTTCCTGTGTGTGTCTGCCTAGGCCCAGACAACAGCTGCCACAACGTTAATGTCTTAGAGCCCAGCCCATCGTTAGCTGATGAATTCCTACAGCCCAGCCCATCGTTAGCTTGTCTTCAGTTATTTGAAGTGGCATTCACAGACTTCCTTATTCCACTTTACCTGTTCTTTGTTGATTTGGGTTTTTTATTTTGGTGGTTTGTTTTGTTTTGCTTTGTTTTGTTTTTTTGCAGTCCAGTTAACATGCATTTTTATTTTTTACTCCTAGTCTTAGAGGTTTTGTGTACAGGTTTCAGGAACAAATACTTTTATGTTTGCAGGTCAGCCTCCAAAACATAAAGGAAAACAAAAATCACGAAACAATGAATCAGAAAAGCCCAGGTTTGTTTTTTCTCTAATTTTATAGGGATTTTAATGGCGACCACATTGGTTTTACAGTTATAATTCGGGGCGGAATCAGCATGTTGGTAATATTTCTGTTCAGGAACTTCGGTCATTATCTGTTTACTCAATATTTGAAGTAAGTGTCGTAAATATACTTTCTTCTTTATGTAATATACTTTTTGCTTTATGTAAGTGAAACGTCTTTATTTTGGCAATGTTTCACAGTATATGCCTTTTTTTTTTTTCCCTCCTTCAGTTCTAATGCACAAGTGACTTTACCAGTGGATTTGAAAAACATTTTGGAGAAACAGTTTTCAAAGTCTTCCAGAGCTGCACACCAGGTAATAGAACAGACTTTTTTCTTTTTTTTTTTTTTTTTTTTTTTTGTAGAAAGAGCAAATGGTTTTCCCTAAGATTTAATAGTAATGCTAACTTCAAATATTCAAGTATTTAGTAAGATTTAATTACTTCTAGTTTCATTCTGCCTACCGAAAATCGTTAGTGCCAACGTTTGATTGACTTAACATGAGTCAGATCGATGTCATATATAAAGTAAACTTTATTATGTCACAGAGTGATGAAAATGGCATATTAACATGGCTGAGGATATTTTTTCTAAATATGGGGGTCAGTTAAAAATTCTGATATTTTAGAGCTATATAACCAATCTTAATGACTGAAACTAATTTCTAATTGTTTAGAACTTCTAACAGCTTTTAGTTATCTGTTAATTGGTTTTACTAAGTCTAGAAACCCTGGAAGACTTATCCCAGGCATGCTTGTATTGGAGCTCTTTCCTATGATGAGGAAATGGTCTGTGATAAGAAGGTCCTGCCTGCTCATTGGGCCTGTCCAGTCCTGGGAATCCTAGGTGGGCCGCATTGGAGAACTCACTCTGAACAAGATTGTCTGGCTCTATTGCTGTTTTCTCAAGTAACAAAGCAATTAAAATTGGGTCAGCTCCTACAAAGCCAAGAATGGATATTTTTGGGAGGACATCGTATTTCCGACTGTTAAGCTCATCATATCTTAAAAATTGTGTACATTGTGTATCTTAACTGTAGCAAGCACCACGTTTATACAAAAGGCCACTCTTTTCCTTGTGTATTTCGAGAGGAGATCCTCTTGGTTTATCTGGTAGAACTCACCAGGTAGCTTTTGCTCTGGTGGCACCGAGGTGTTCCCAGTGGGATCTTTGTGACATTGCTCACTAGGAATTTGTCTTTTCTCTCCCACTGGCTGGCTTATACATGTATGGCTTACTATGATCTTACCCTCCACTCTATGGAACTTTGTAACTTACGCAGTTATACATTTCAGTGATGACTTCTATACATACATCATCAGGTTAGAATGCATGAAAGTACTTTGCTGATACCGTTGTTAGTTTTTTCTTTGTCTTTCCTTGAATTTAACTTACTGATTTCCGTCCTAATAGTTTTGTACAGCATAACCGTAGCTGAGACTTGAAATAGCTTTCTTTTGCTAAAAACTAAGGCTTTATTTCAGGTCAGGGCAACAGCTGTTAGGAATCTGAGAGTGATCAGTACATAGCTAGCTTGTTCTAATGTGTCCTAATTGTTTTAGTTCCAGCTACAAAACTCACCCATGAAGAGGTGTGTTGTTAAAACTTCATGGTACTGTGCTGGGCCTGCAGGGGTAAATAAGATCTGAAGTGAGTGGCATAGGGTGAACATGCTTACACGGGCCTTTTAATAGTGTATTGCTGAGAAAGGAAGTTCATGATAAGGGGCAGTTTAGGCATTTGTCTATCATTTATAAATGTGAACTGGCTCCTGCAAGTTGTCCGCTGACTTCCGTGCGGATGAACTGACAGCTGCTCTCATCCGTACAAAATAATAACAGTCGTTAATCTTTTGAAAGTTTTTCTTACTACTGATAACTAACTGTCTTAAATTTGAAACAAGTGATAGATTTAGACTCCTGATTTTTTCCCCCCAGGATTTTGCTAACATCATGAAGATGTTGAGGAGCTTAATCCAGGATGGGTACACAGCCTTGTTAGAGCAGCGTTGCCGCAGCGCGGCACAGGCCTTCACAGAGCTGCTCAATGGGCTGGACCCTCAGAAGATCAGGGTAAGTTTGCAGCGCTGTACACACCCCATACCCGGGAGGTCAGGTGACTCCTCTACCCCAGACCCGTGAGGTCAGGTGACTCCTCTCTACCCCAACCCGTGAGGTCAGGTGACTCCTCTCTACCCCAACCCATGAGGTCAGGTGACTCCTCTCTACCCCAACCCATGAGGTCAGTGACTCCTCTCTACCCCAACCCATGAGGTCAGGTGACTCCTTCTCTAATGTACCCCAGACCCGTGAGGTCAGGTGACTCCTCTACCCCAGACCCATGAGGTCATGTGACTCCTCTCTACCCCAACCCATGAATCAGGTGACTCCTCTACCCCAGAACCGTGAGGTCATGTGACTCCTCTCTACCCCAACCCGTGAGGTCAGGTGACTCCTCTACCCCAGACCCGTGAGGTCAGTGACTCCTCTACCCCAGGCATGTGAGGTCAGGTGACTACTCCTCTAATGTAACCCAGACCTGTGAGGTCAGGTGACTGCTCCCAGTGTGTGAAGCGGGTAGCGCTCCCAGTTGGAGTGGGCCATGTGGGTGTTCACTCCAGACCACTGTTAGGTCTGTTAGAAGCCCTGGCATTTGACAGGTTAAAGATTTGCTTCATGATGTTCAGAGTCTATGTGGTAAATAGATAGATAGACGCTGTGGAACAGCTTATTTTGAAAAATGTATTTCTGATTTATTTGTTCTGTTAGTAAGATGTCATGTCCCTGTTGTAGCTAGAAAGTTATTCTAATGCAGATTGGACAGGGTTATGTTCAGGTTACTAACCAATGTGCATTTTTATTGACAGCAACTGAACCTGGCCATGATTAATTATGTACTAGTAGTCTATGGACTTGCTGTTTCTCTCCTTGGAATAGGACGACCCGAGGTAAGCCTTTAACATCGATACCAACTGAAACATGAAATTAATTGTGGAAGATATTTAAAAATTGTTTTCCTATTTGGTTCATTTATTTCTTGAAAGACTGAGACGGCTGAGTTAACTTAGTGTTTTGGGGTGAGGCGTTAGATGTCTAACCCTCACCCCAAAAGTTTGGCTTCACACTTGTGACCATCCTTCCCACTTCTGAACACAGTGTAAACTGTCGAGTGATTTGATTTAGAGGAAAGTCTGGCAGGGTTGGTATTCATGCCTATAGTCCCAGTTCTGGGGGCAAAACCAGGAGAGGCCTAAGTCTGAGAACTGTGTGGGCCAAGATCTTGTCTCCAAAAAGGACAGAACATTTAATTTATATTCCTGGTGGGAAAAGGCTACACTTGGCCGTTGCTAGGAGTCCATTTTAGGCGCGTAAGAGTAAAGTTTAGCATATCAGGATAGGCACATTTCAAAAACATAATGTCAAGGGGGAGGGCATCATTGCGACTCCATCGTTGTGTGTAGTTTTGTAAACAGCAACCCATTATATTCTTTGTGGCTATCTTAGAATGCAGTCTGGAATAGTAAAAGCACCTCGACCACCCTTATGCCAAGTACCATTGCTTACAGTGATAGAAGGTGGAATGGGTCTGGGAAGGTTGGAAAGAGCATGCTAGCTTCAGTGTGATGTCACACTGGAAAATCAGAAGCGAGAATGATCTTGCTTAGGTCTCCATGATGAGTGCACCAGTATGGACTGCTTCCTTAGCTGGGCTTCCCTAAGGTTTGGGTGTGACTCCCTGGGATGGCAATGGCTCACACGCCTTCAGCGAGTTCCTAGCATGCTTGCTTAGAGTATTATTCGCTTTTATAGTCTCCTGAATGCTGAAATGCTTGTGGATGTGTTCAACTTTTTTGACATTGTGCAAGAAATTGTGTTTTCAAAAATGTGTTGGTAACTTTATAGTGTTGTATTGGACTTTATATTATACATTATACATGTTATGATATTATTTATATATGTTATATTATAAAGTTGTATTAGCTTTATAATGTTGTATGTGTTTATAGATGTCCTTGTTTGATGGGACATGCCTGCAAGAGTGACCTCAAATGTAACATGCCCATGTAGTATGCCTTTTCTGCCAACCTGGGCTCTAAGCTTCCCTGGTTACATGCAAGCTTAAATTACCACTTACTTAAAATAAAAACGTAGGATTGACTTGCATGGATTCATGGTGTCTGGGGTCTTTTTCCTAGTTGGTAATGAGACTGACCGCTGGATTGTCTTCCATTAATTCCCATCTGACTCCACTTTTTAAATAGATAGGTGGAGATAGGACTTTGTGTTTTTAACTGTATCATGGTAGATTATGTTTTGCTTTATCAAAACTGAAGAAATAGTTTTATTGCATCTGTGTTACTAGAATTTACACATTCAAAAAAAAAATTCATCAGGCTAGTATTCCTCTTGTTTTCTTTTCAAAAAATTAAGTGTAATAATTTTAATTCTTTAGAATTTTCAGGTACAGGTACAGTGTACTTTGGTTGTATTTATCACACACACACACACACACACACACACACACACGTCCCTTAACTCCTCACACTTCCCTTCCCAGAAAGCTCCCCAGGAACACGTGTGCATCTTTGCTTTCAAACCTCCAAGTAACTTAGAAGCCCATTTGCCCCATCTCTCTTCACTCGCGATATGGTTGCTGTTACTTCAGCCACAGGCTTTTTGTTTTTTTTAAAGCAGAGATTCCCCTTGTTGAGGATGCTAAGAATGTGCTCCAGGTTCGGTTAAGTCTTTACCAGGGGGTAGTGTTTAACACAAATGCTTTTCTCATCCATAAAGGATCATGGCAATGTCGTTGGAACGCGACTCTTACAGGGAAAAATGCATGCTACCATATTTGCTGTGGTGTGTCTGTACCCAAACCATGAATTCATACCTGCTTGTATTAACAACAGGCCTGTGCATTTGAGTAAATGTCTTTTGGTTGGCAGTCTGTTTTCAGCAGGATTAGTTTTAATGTTATTTGAATTTCCACGGGCGCCACATTAATCAGAAATTTACATAATTTATAAGAAAATGAATTTATAAAAGGTAAATTTTGCAAAAGCTACTTTTTGACACAGGTTTTAGGTTTTGTTGTTGTTGTTTGTAAGCATTAAAGAAGCATCAGCTTTGAGATAGTCTGTTTAAGCACCTCTCACGTAAGTAACTGTTCCCTGCTTTTGAAGGAGCTGTCTGAAGCTGAAAACCAGTTTAAAAGGATTATTGAACACTATCCCAATGAGGGCCTTGACTGCTTGGCCTACTGTGGAATAGGAAAAGTATATTTGAAAAAAAACAGGTCAGTAGAAACTACGGTGAGCGACAGGTTGATGGCCGCTGTGATGATTATTTTATAGAAGGGACTGGGGGTCAGTTGTGGGTTTCTAGGAGAGTATATGTGTGCATACATGTAGGCTAGAGATTGATGATGGGTGGCTTCCTCTATTTTCATATTAATACTTACTGCTGTCTGTGTGGCCAGCCCCCAGCGGTGTATGGCTCAAAGGGAAGCCATAGAATTGACTTGTACTATGAGTCTTCTATCTGAGGGGTTGGGGAAAAGACACATAGTCTCTCAATAGATACTTCCTGACTTCTCCTTTTTTATTTTGTTTTCTCTGTTCTTTATTCTTGATCTTTTCCTTCTAGCCCATTTTAACTCTTTCTTTATTCTTTTCCTTATATACCCCAGCAAAATCTTTCAGGCAATATAAAAAGTACAGTTTGGTTGCCTTCTGTTTTTCAAGTAAATGATTACAATGAGTACAAAACAAACCATAAACACACACACACACACAGAACACATTTTGCATGACTCTTACATGACTAAACATTTTACATATTACAGGGGAAAAAAAATTATCCCAAGAACCCATGTACATTCATACCCAAGCAACTTCTTATGGACACAGCAACACCTCCCAACGGTACCTCTCCCTGTGAGCCTGTGCGGCCACTTTCACTAAGAGCCCCACAATCATAGCGCAACACATACTTTGCCGTTTACCGAGACCCTGGGATGGGTTTGCCGTCATAGCGGTGATTTACTCAAGGGGCTGGCAACTGAAAGCATACGGGGTAAGAGAAGGCACACATTCAGAGACTACCGTTAGCCACGGAGCAGCTCTCCACCCCCTGTACTGGAGGGAGCCTGCTCTTGTTTGCTGCGTAGCTGTTCTTTCCGTCTTGTCTGAGAGAACCACGTAATGGCTTAGGACTGAAGACAGTGTGTTCGCACCCTTGCAGTCAGAGTGGTGGACGTGTTAGGTTGTTTTATAGAAAACAAAAGTTACTATTGGTAATTGGATATCATTCTTAATACCTAATTAACCTTACATCTTTTACTGTTTAGAGGAAGTTTTATGATAGTCTTGAGCTCTCTATCTTAGCATATGCCACAACGTCTTTGCATATTTTTCAGACTAAAAAGAAAGTTCTTTTAGTTTCTAGTTACTGTCTGGGTGGGATCAGGTATGTAGGGGATTCCAGGACAGACAAGTGCCTCATTTACATTACTGCAACAGGAAGTAGCAACTATGTCTTAGGGTGTGTGTGTGTGTGTGTATGTGTTAGACAGGGTTTCTCTGCAACAGTCCTGGCTCTCCTGGAGCTCACTCTATAGACCAGGCGGCCTCAAAGTCTCTGAGGTCTGCCTCCCTAGTGCTGGGATTCACTGTCTTAGTTTCTAACAAGGAAATACATTACATTGAATATTTGTCTCTATTGATTTATCGTGTATGGTCTTTCTAGTATATTTGTGGTCTTGGTGAACTTTACTGCGGAGTAAAATACTACATCAGGTCTCTTGATATTTTCTGTCTCCCCAATTGTGACTTTAGGTTTCTTGAAGCCCTCAATCACTTTGAAAAGGCAAAGACCTTGGTTTATCGTCTCCCTGGGATTCTAACTTGGCCCACAAGTAATGTGATTATTGAAGAATCTAAGCCAGAAAAAATCAAGGTAACTGTTTGTCCAGCATTTCATTCTGGCTGTGAGAGTCCATCTGTGTAGGGGACATACGTGGCGTGTTCCATCCACACACCTGAATGCTGAGCGCTGAATGCATTGAATGCTCCTGTATGCTAGTCTTACACCTTCTGTTATTGTTAGTTTTCCTAAAGCAGTCCTGTGATGCGATCATGGCATTCCTATTTCACACATGGGGAAGATGGAGTTTGGGTTTGAGTGATGAGCACAAGGTTAAGGTCCACTCTGGCTTCCTGGAGTCCTTGGATGACATTTCTTAGTACTGCAAATTGTGGGCCGGGGTTTCATAGTTACAAGAGTATAAAATTTAGATGTTGACTGAAATCTAAAGATAATTTTCCCCCAAACCTATTTTGACCTTCTCTAAAGAAAAAAGCAAGCATTTATAGTTTGTTCTTAGGGAATCACATTTGATGGCAGAGGCTCTCGAAATCACTGGCATGTTTGTTGATGCATTAGTGTTGTGACAATATTTATCTTTTTTTTTTTTTTTTTTTTTTTTTAGACAATGCTGGAGAAGTTTGTTGAAGAATGCAAGTTTCCCCCCGTGCCAGATGCTGTTTGTTGCTATCAGAAATGCCGTGGATATTCCAAAATTCAGATTTACCTAACTGATCCTGACTTTAAGGTAAGTAATACGCTTACTGTTTTGCAAAACCATCTCCGAATTAATTCAGAATGGACTGTATGAATGGGAAATCCCAGGTTCTCTGGCTTGGTAACATTTTTATGTCCCCTTCTTTCCCATTTCCTTAGACCCCTTTATGTCTTTGTTATAGTACATGGAAAGCCAGAGTAAACAAACTAAATGGCATGCGTTGGGTTGGTGACTGAGAAAGTGTGCTCGCTGGCTCCATTTTCTCTTTTAGCCACAGAAACGTCGGAAGTAAAATGATTGTTTCCTCTGACTTGTTGCTTTTTAAATACGTGTAAAATTTGAATATGAGAATTTAAAGGCCGTTGAAGTCTGAATTATTCCATGGAGACCTAATTTAAGGCAAATCTCTCACATAACTAAATGATTAAATTATTGGTTTACTTAAGAAGGTAGTGCCTGCCCCCTGTCCTGCTGCGTCTAGTTAGTAGGTCAGATGAAATGATGCTTGCTCAGCACTTGCTGTAATAGTGAAAATGTCAAGTTCTTTAATGCTATAGCTAGACGTATTACTCCATAAGAAAACATTATGCCTAGTTACATGGTGAATATAACATCTCTAGTTATTGCAATGTATGCTATTATAAATGTATTGATATAGACATGTTTTTAAATGCCTGTCTATTATGTTTGTTTGTTTTTTAATTCCAGGGTTTTATACGAATTAGCTGTTGCCAATACTGTAAGGTAGAATTTCACATGAACTGCTGGAAAAAGTTAAAAACAACAACTTTTAATGATAAAATTGACAAGGTAAGACATAAGGTTTGATTTTTGTATTTATGTGTTACGCTTGTATATTCCCCTCCTCCCAATTTTTTTTTTTTTTTTTTTTTTTTTGTAAAGCCCTTACGAAATGTATATTCTTTCCTGGGCCTTATAGCCAGAATTAGAATAGTTTATATTACACCAGTATCAAGGTAAGAACACAGTGTGTTTATGTTTTCTATGACTATAAAATCGTTGTTATCAAAAGTAAATGTTTCAATGCTTGGAGTTAATGTCCATATTTTAAATTGTGCTCTATGGTATTAATTCTCCAGAGAATATCCCGTCAGTCATCAGAACCTACTGATGAACAATTAGTCTCAAAACCTCTACTTTTTACGAAAATTTAAGAAACCAACTTAAATTTTATGTTATTTCTATGGGGGTTCCCAGTTATTGAGAACATTTTGAAAGAAGGTATATTTTATTGTCTAATTTGCATTCATAAAATAGATATATGATCTGTATGGGTTTAGCCAAAGGAAACCTTTGCATTGTACGTTAGCAGTAGGAATTACTCGTTCGGTAGAGGCAGATTTTTACAGAACTAGAGGGGAATGCCATGGAGTCCCTTTCTGCTCTCCCTTGCTAGTGTATGTTCTCCACTTGTCCGGCTCCCTCTCTCTGTCCCTTGTGTAGTGTCCTCTGCACTGCATTAGAAAAGAAGGGCCTTGGCCATTCCATGCAAGGGCTGAGCTGCGTAGACATGGATCACACCATGCGCGTTCACTTTGCTTTCACCAGAGCAAGTCGGAGCTCATCAGTACTCTCTGTGGCGGTGTAGGGCTGCTGCAGGAGGCTGTACGCTGGGCTAGCGTGGCCTTGTGTAAGATAGCACACATGAACTACCTTACCCGCTGAGGCATAACCCCCTTCTTTTAAATCAAAAAGGATTTTCTGCAAGGAATTTGTCTCACGCCTGACTGTGAGGGAATCATTTCTAAGATTATCATCTTTAGCAGTGGTGGTCAAGTTAAATGTGAAGTAAGTATCATTATTAACACCTTTGAAAACATGGCTTGAATGTGTGGAGTTGTGTAGTGTGGATCTTGTCATTGAGAATGTAGGGTTGTTGCGTGTGCATTGCAATGAGGGACTACGTTTCAGTTCTATTGATTTTGCCCTTTGCTTATATTTTTTATAAGTCCCTCCAACTTTAGGGGTGGGGATGTGGACTTTTAGGCAGCAGGAACTTTGCAATCTGGGGGTTACATAGGTGTGTGGCTGTGTTAACAATTTATAGCTTACTGGATTGTCTGCTTGGTTGTAGTTTTTGAAAACTCGTTGAAGTGTCTCCTGCTCCTTTTTACTGAATTACTTCACAGCAGCCTTCTGGGCTTCCGTGTGGTGTAGTGTCTGCACTGCTGTGCATTGAGCACTGACTGTACATTTATTCCTTGTGCTTTGGTACTCTGTGTCATGTGAGTGTGAGAAAAATTTTGTCTTTGTTTTATTTAAAGTTTGAACACAAGGTCATAAAAGAAAAAGTTCCTTCAAGACCTATTCTGAAGCAGAAATGTTCTAGGTAAGACTTTTCACATCAGACAATAGTTTTATGATGTCTCAGAAAATATAATTATATTAAGCGCAGATGTATGAATTATTCTGTTTAAGTTGCACACAAAGTAAATACCGGAAATGATTTTTACACATATTTAAAACTAAAATGAACTTGCTTGGGATGGTTAAGTACTAAAATCTTGAACAACAGTCATTAGTGATTTATGAGTAAAACTATGGCACTTCATGTTGTGATGTTATGTTTGATTACAGATTTGGCACTTAGGCAGAAATGGTATATTTATTCTGGTTGTTTTAGCTTTAATTCCAAAGTATTTAAAACAGCTTTCATCCCTTCAGCAAACATTTTGAAACAATAGCTAGTCCTTACCTTGAAATTCTCAATGTGTTATGCAAACTATTTACCCCTATGCATCTTTGTTCAGACCAAATAATTCCAGTCCTTCCTTCTTTTCTTTCTGGTCCTGTTTCTTGTTTTTCTTTCTGAAAAATAACTCTTCTCTCTCTCGTTTGTATTACTTGTAACCAACAAAAACAAAAGAAAAGATGGACCTGATTATTTTTGGAAATATTTCACTGTAGCCACATCAACCAGTGAATCATGTGGCCGGACGTTATTGGTCTATTATGAGAGACGGCTTTGAAATGGAAGGTTACACATGTCATCTGCGGACCACTTTTTACTGATAAGCAGTTGTCTGTATACCTGGACATAGCATGCATATGTTTACATTTATTGCATCCTTAGATGTCACTTACTTGTCGAGATGCTTGTTTTTATGAAATGACTTTCTTATTTTGACTGAATTGATGTTATAGGTCAATAGGTTTTTTTGTGTTGAATAGAAATTGTAGGACAGGTTCTAATTTTTTAAAAAAAGTGTTAACCTATTGGACTAGACAAAGGGAAATGGTTCATTGATTTTTATAACAAAGATAAATTGTTAATGATTGGAAATGTCTATCAGCCTAGAGAAGTTAAGACTCAAAGAAGACAAAAAATTGAAGAGAAAGATCCAAAAACAGGAGGCCAAAAAGTTAGCACAAGAAAGAATGGAAGAAGACTTAAAAGAAAACACTCCACCCAAAAAGGAAGAGCCAGAAGGTATTCAGAAGTACAAATTATGAAAATTGTATATACCTGTCTCAGAGTACAAATATGATTATTCATATTATGTCCTCATACTAATTTTTACTGAATTGGTTATTACTTTTAGTTAGCATTTTAATAGCCGAAAACCAGATTTTTCTGTTAGTATCTTAGTACTCCCAATGTGGTGAATCGTACCTGCAATCCCTAGCATTCAGGAAGCAGGGTTGCCCTGACTTTTAGGGTCGCTTTGAATACATAGCAAGAGTCTCAAGGAAGCAAAACCCCATACAGCCTGCTACTCTGAGATAAGTCTCACTCTCAAGCAAAACTCCAGGGAGCTTGCTCTAAGCAAACCACTCTTCCAGTGGCGGCAGCAAACTGACTTGCTGCTTAGTCGTCATGTGTGACCGGGCACTGTAACGTGTACCCAGTGGTCATGTGGGACTGGGCACTGTACAGTGTTCCAAGTCGTCATGTGTGACCGGGCACTGTAATGTGTACCCAGTGGTCATGTGTGACTGGGCACTGTACAATGTTCCAAGTCGTCATGTGTGACCGGGCACTGTAACGTGTACCCAGTGGTCATGGGTGACCGGGCACTGTACAGTGTTCCAAGTGGATCTGAGTCCCAGTGTCATTAATAAAGTTACTAATTTTCTGGGTTAATGTGACATATATTGTTGGATTCTGAGAGTCAGATGTCTAAGTCATTTTTGGCGGTTTGCCTTTTAGTTGATGCTCGTGTTCTTATTCCTGAGCAGCACAGAAATGTCTCAGATGATTTTCCTGTTCCTGTGATTAGCTCACACATGTATTTCCAGTTTTGAATTGAAATAGCATTTCCTCACTTTCTGTATATTCCTCAAATGAAATATTTTCCATATGCTGTTTGATTTTTTTCCCATCTGCTTAGCATGTGGGAAATGCCTCAAAAGTAAATAAATTACCTGTCGTAGTCAATTGTTTTCAGCAGTGTATTGGCTTTGTGTGCTTCTCACAGACCAAGCACCTTAAATCGAATGTTTGGTTGGTGAGTCTGAGTTAGAATATTCGAGAGGAGAAAGCTTATTTTAGAGGAAATAAGGTTTAAACGCTATACGTAGCGGTGTGAAAGGAAGATTGTAAGTATTTGCTCTGGGAGTCCAGGCATGCGGATTTAACCCAGGTACCTGGCAAGTACAGTGAGCAGAGCTGAGTCCCGCCCTCTGCTGTCTGTGTCTGGGGCTCCTTCACTCGGTTGCTCAGGCTGGCCTTAGCAGCTGATACAGCTCTTACAGCCAGAGTGGGTCTTGAACTTGAGGTCCTACTAATTTGAAGTGTCCCACCTTTTCCGGGATACTGTTAAATTTGTGTATTCCAGATTTAAACTTTGCTCAGTTGTTTATGTCAGTACAAACAGAAATCAGACCTAACCTTGCAGGGGAGACCCCATCACAAAGTTGGTTTTTCCAGGGCAAGGCTTATCCATTGCCCTCTGGATTTGCTGATCCCTCTGGTTTCAGCATGATTTGTGGTAGTGGAGACTGCCTTTGTGTTCTCTCCGGTAGAAACAAACAAACAAACAAAAAAAATCACAGAAACCATCTGCTTTGTGTCACTGTGCATGCTACGGTGTCTAATTGCAAGTCTGTATAGTTGCAAATTAGCCCTGCTTATCCCTTTAATCTTTGTTTTCCATAGAAACTGTAGACAACGTTCAGCGTTGTCAGTTTCTTGATGACAGAATACTGCAATGCATAAAGCAGAATGCCGACAAGATTAAATCTGGAATACTGAATACCTCCACACTTCTCAAAGAGCTGCTTTCTTGGAAGGTTCTGAGCACAGAAGACTATACAACATGTTTTTCTAGCAAAAATTTTCTCCATGAAGCAGTAGACTATGTTATCCGCCACTTGATTCAGGAAAAGAACAGAGTGAAGACACGAGTATTTCTGCATGTTTTGAGCGAGCTTAAAGAGGTAGACCCCAAGTTGGCTCCCTGGATCCAGAGACTTAATAGCTTTGGTATGTACCTTTAAATTCTAGAGTGCTGTTGTTTAGAACGGTGAATATAAGCCTATGAATCCTTATTTATTTATTTATTTATTTATTTATTTTTATTTTGCTGTCTTATTTATAAACACACCCCACACAGGTGTTTTTGGGTTATACTCTTGACAGGTTGTGATACAGTCTTTCGAAAGATGAGAATAAGAAAGGCTTAAATATATGAGCTATTTATGAATGTGTAAATTTATTCAGAAGTAGATGGAAATGGATGCAGAAGTACACTGTGTAAGCCCGGCGATGGTGGTGCATGCCTTTAATCCAAGCACCCGGGAGGTGGAGGCAGGCGGATCTCTGTGAGTTCGAGTCCAGAGCCTGGTCTACAGAGTGAGTTCCACGACAGGCGCAGAAGCTACAGAGAGAGCCTGTCTTCACAAACGAACAAAAGCATACTGTGCAGTCTGCTGTCAGTACAGTGGCTGCAGGGATTCCGTGGGAAAGGGAGAGGCTAATTGCCGGGACCCCTGGGTGCCTGTACTTGCCTAGTGAATGGCAGAATCACACCGCTGCTTTGACGGGGAGAATGGAAGGTTGAGGAAACGTTCCCATGTGCAGGCTCTGTGTCAGGGCCATGCAAGGGTGGTTGTTAAACTGTGGGTGAGGATGCTCTTGGCCTTGGGAGGCCAGTGTTAGGATGATGCCTAGCATGGCGGCTGGCCAGACCCTGCATGATGAGTCAGCAGGTGTAGATAAAGACTAGAAAGGGAAGGGAACACTACCTCTCAGACCGGTGGGGGGGGGGCTTCCCACCCTCCGACAGACCTGATGACATCCAGCTTGGCAGAGCCTGGAAGGCTGGACACCTAGGTCTGCTTATGTCTGTTTTGGTCCCAGAAAATTACTCTTAGAAGATAAGAGTCTGTCTGTCAGATGAGCAAATTAGTTACTGCTTACATTACTTGCTACAGAGGATAGATTCAACAGTTGGAGAAGCAGTCTTACCTGGGCTATGCCACAGAGGCCAGAGGACCAAGCACTATGTTTTGTTGTCGTAAATGCATTGTTTGAGGCTCACTGGCAGGAAAATCCAGGTCCTTTTGATGTAATCCGTGTTTACTCTGGAGATACAAAGTAGTTTTAAGTTCCGAAGTGAGCTTAAGCTTTTGTTCTATCCTGGACTAAAACACACTTAACTTCATAAAGGAAATCATTTCCAGTTCATGAAATTTTACTTCCTTCTCATGAGAGCCCATATAGTGAAATCGCTCATGTTTAATTTAGGAGCCAATTTATTTGATGGGTAAAAACGGGATGGAGGAAGAGATAGATTGTGAGAGAGAATTAGCATTGTCTGCTTACATTCACTTGTGGGACAGACTGGACAGGGAATGTGAGTGTGTCTCATTGGCAGTTCTCTCAAACTGTTATTGACGGTATAGTTCGTGTCGCTGTGGATTGTCGTGTTTAAACATGCAGATTTCTCATATCGCCTGATCTTGTCTAGAAGAATCACCGGAATAGTTTTAAGAAATGGTCTCCTGCTTTCTTGGCACCTAGGTCTATGTGGAAGGCGCCCATGAGGTGGGAAGGGAAGGTGAACTAATTTTGTTTTGCTCTCTGGAGGCATTAGTAAGGAGTGGCCTTCCTTGTCACTGAAATGGAGTGTATGGGGTTGGAGGAAGAGGGTGAGGAGCCCTGATAGTTGGAAGATAAGAAGCAAGTCTTGGAGGTATTGGACGAGGAGTCTGTCCAACATAGTTCTTTGCAAGGCATTTGGGAAGATTTGGGTATTACTGACATCTAGTTGGTATGGAATACTTGTAGGAAAACATTGTTAAGATCTTGACAATTTAATTAGACATAAAGTGAGAATTAGTGAAAAATGGTATGTTTCTAAGGGAGTTCAGTGTCGTCATCTTTTCATGATACAATTGTTTAGTTCACCTTCCTCAACTACTAAAGTAATTTATAATTGCTATCTCTCTTCAGTCTTGTTTGTGAAATGCATGATAGTTTTGACTACTTTATCAAGTAGTTAAATATTTTCACTGAAAATGTAAGCAGACTATAAGCAGAACTACTTCCAGGGAATGTTATGGTTGGGTTTTTTGCTGAAGAAGTTTTGGCTTCTGTGATTTGGGCTTTGTTCTGTTGCAGGCTTAGACGCCACAGGACCGTTTTTCTCTCGATACGGAGCATCTCTCAAGGAACTTGATTTTAGCGTTATGACTTTTCTCTGGAATGAGAAATATGGCCATAAACTGGATTCTATAGAAGGAAAACAACTTGATTACTTCTGTGAGTCAGCGTCAATGAAGGAAGCCCGCTATTTAATATGGCTGCTAGAGGAGCACAGAGACAAATTCCCAGCCTTGCACAGCGCTCTCGATGAGTTCTTCGATGTGATGGGTATGTGTGATCCCTAATGTTATTTGTTGAGGAAACCTATGAAGGACCTAGCTCATTTTAAGATTGTGTGTGTGTGTGTGTGTGTGTGTGTGTGTGTGTGTGTGTGTGTTGAATGTATTTTTTGTGGAGTAGTTGAGAGTTTTTTAATGAAGGGACATAGGAAGGATGCTGAGGACTTCAAATAAGGTCCCAGCCTTTGGTTCTTTCTCTGTGAAATCGGTGGAGCAGGGATAGTCTGAGGGGAGCTGCAGATGTGGAAGTAGAATTGGACAGTTATGTGTGGACTTAGAGACTAGGGTAGGAGGGAATGGAATAGGGTTAAGCTTGGCAGAGTAGGCCAGATAGCAGCTAATTTATTTAGCTTCCCCTGGGCTTTCTTTATTGTAATGAACTGATTTGATCTGTGTGATTCTGCTTTACTTAAAGATTCTAATACTATATTCTAAATTAATTTTAGCTTCCCGTCTGCAATTGCTTGATTTTTGCCCCTTCTCTTAGCATCAAACTCTACATCGTTGGGCATGAGGTTCACGCCTTGTGCTCTTTGTGTTTGAGTACGCCAGGAGCGCTGACCCTGGAGCTCTACCATGTGCCCGAGAGTTTAGTGCAGTGCAAGCTGCTTGCTTGTTTTGATCTTTAGAAAAGAATGTTCCTTCCTGACTGACAGGGATACCATATTTGATAGCCTGGGCTTACCGTCATCAGTTCAATGCTTGTAATAGCAAAACCCTGCTACATTCACAAACCCGCCACACAGTACCAGCAGCACAGGTGTCTCTGGCGTGCACCTGACACACAGCTGCCTGCCGATGGCGCTCTGCCTGCACTCGTGGAGGAGAAGGCCTTCAAGTTGTGGCCATCTTACCAAGTCTGGCAGCTACATGCCTTTCTCACTTGAGAAATTTTCATTTTTTTTTTTTTTTCGCTCCTTGTTTAAAAGGAGTATTATATTTGTTAAGACTTTCCGAAATCAATTGGTCTTATATATTATGATGTTTAGTGTCTTCACCAGTGATATAATTGGGAACCCCAACACTCCTGAAGTAGGCATGCATACTTCCATACAGGTTTGTACAGATAGCCAAAAGCCCCTTAGAAGAAATATGGCTGAACTCACTTGCTTAATTTTCTTATATTCATATTGGTGAACATATTGCTGTATATCCAAATGTTAGTCAAGAAACTTAGATAGTCTTTGCTCTTTTGTTTTCTATTACTATTATAACTACTTCGTCACCGGTCCACATAAACTTAATGATTGATCTGTCCGTTCCTCAGTTCTGTGGGCCACGACCTTCACTGGTTTTCTTTTCCATAATGAGATTATTACAGTAGTCATGCCCTGGCCTGTATGCTTCCAAGCATATGATACTTCCTGTAGTGACTCGTGGGAACGGTAGCTGCTCTGTGTGGGAAACACTTGCTTGATTTGATGTTCCCCGCATGTTACAGCCCTGACTCCACGCCTTGTGGCGTCTCAACACATCCCCACCGGAAGGAATCTCCAGACATTTTTGCTGCTCTTGTCACTGTGGACTCTGCAACGCTGAGTTGTAGGGATTTTTTTCCCTTTCTTTATTTATTCTTTTGGTAGCAGAACATGAACTGTTGGCTCCAGGCATCTCTGTACACTCGTGCCCCGTCACAGATGGCCCCAAAAGGGGACTGGAGACTTGCCGGCTTGGATTCAAGCTGTGCATCTCTCTGTAGTTGAGTTCTCATTTAGTTAGATAAATTGTGTCAGGAAGAGCATAGGCCTGGGTGAGAACTATCGTAACCGTGCCGATGAGTCACCAGACATGCGTTCTTCCTGCAGATAGCCGGTGTACTGTCCTACGGAAGCAAGACAGTGACGAAGTGCCGGTGAGTCCTTGAGCCTCGGGCTCCTTATGTTAGACAGAGGAGCAGAGGGGAGCCGGGCCGGTGCGTGCTCGCCTCACAGGTACCATTACAGACCCAAGCGGAGGACTCACCACTAGGCGACTGCACATGAGGTTCAGTTGGTGAAGGGGCCAGCGTGCACAAAGGCCCGAGAGAGATGACTGGGCAGGGTAGCACACGCCTGTGATTCCAGCACTCACCAAAGCGAAACAGGAGGACCAGGTGTTCAAAGGCACCCTTAGCTACATAGTGACTTCAAGGCCAGGCCAGGCTTCGTGAGACCCTGTCCAGACAGTGTTCGTGATCTTCAGGTTAATGCACGTGCACTCTAGAAGGAGGAACGGAAGATGGTAATGTTTGTTCCAGAGGATCGCTGGGGCGCTTGCCGCCAGGAGCCCTGTTGGTGTAAACAGATGCCATGTAGTCGCTTTCCACGCGGGCTGTGGCTGCCTTTTAGTCCCTCTGGCGGGTTAGTAGCTCCTCAGTTAAGAACACCATAGTGAGGAGAAAATGTCATGTTTGCCAGTGCTGGAGATCATCCGTCCTAGAAGAGTGTCCTACGGTCCTTTAGTTGATAGGTCTTGCCAGACTTTGAAAAACAGTGACAGACCTGTGCGAGGTGAATGCCACTTCCTTCTAGATCCACGCAGTTTCTGGCCACGTGCCAGATGTCTGCTTTACTCACTAGTGAAACGAATGTCTGTAAAACATCAGAATAACATCAGAATTCCCAAAACTCTGGTTGTGTATTTGAAGTAACACAGGGCCTGTTGAAATCAAGGTTGAAATGTTGGAGCAGTTTAGTGTGTGCGTTCCCCTGTAGGGACACACAGAGACGTAACAACATACGGCTAGTCAAGGACAGCGAGTGTGCTGTTTTCGTGGACTCTACTGTTTGAGGATTCAGTGCTCTTCTCTTTCATTTTCCAGTTGGGTTGTGTCAAGGTCAAAAACAAAGGCAAGAAAAAGAAGCCAAAAGATTCGAAGGTAAGGGGCGTCTTCTGCCGAGCTCTTCGGGCTCCAGGAGCTGACTTGACTATGTCAGCGGGAACAGTTTGAAGCGCCTTGTGTGAGCGAACCCCTAGGACCCCAGAAGGGGACAGAGTAGACAGGAGGGCTCTGTGGTCGGGCAGCTCTTGGCTGTATAAACACCCAGTGCAGCTGGTACCCTAAAACTAGCAGCCACTCCAGCCTACCTGGGGTACTCCAGGCCCAGCGAGACACTGGGACATGGCTGATGAAGATACCTGATGACCACCTATGGCCTACACATATGCATACGCGCACGCGCTTGGTCACATGCAAAAACCCATCCACACAAACACCACAGAATTCATGCACTTTAGAAAAAAAGCTATTGGCTCCTAAGCTAGTACATGCATACTAATAATACCACTTGACTGAGTATTAGGAGCAGATAAGAAAGAATATTTGTCTTTGTAGTATTCAGAACTTCAGTGAAAGTTATTTCTGTTCAGATGTTTACCTAAAATAGTCAGAAATAGTCAAAGTGATGAATCCCAGCCCTCCTGATGACCTAGGATAGCCTTTCCTCCTTTTACATCAGTCCCAAGCCACGGAGACAGAGAGCATCATTTCACTGTTGAGGGGAGGTCTGCGTGGCTCGAGCATACAAGGGGGGCATGTGGGGGACCGGGAAGAAACTGAGCTACTGCTAGAAAGGGGTACAAGCATGTTGGGGGTTTCCGCACAGCTGAGCTTCGCATCCTTGAGTAAACCGGATATTTTAGTGACTAAATTACAGTCACATTTCCATTTTTTTTTTTTTTTTTTTTTTTTTTTTTTTGGAGCTTTGGAAACTACTCTGAGTTTTAATTTTCAATATAATTCTGACTGTTAAAATATACAACGCTTTATCCTATTCATAAGAAACTTTGGGTTTTTTAGTATTCACAGTTGGCACGCATGTGTTTATGTAAATTCTTGCTTTGAGGTAGGATGTTTTTATCATTTGCTGTAGAGACTCACTGTTTGCCGGGTGGGAATATCATGTCACTTTTCTTTCTGTTGAATTAGCCAATGTTAGTGGGATCTGGAGCAACGTCCGTAACGGCAAGTACTGAGGCTGTCACCCCAGAGGACCCTGAGTGAGTATGAGCTAGTTTACCCCGCATAGCACAAGCGTTTGTCCTGTTAAATCACGCCGACTTCCCGTAGACCCCCCTCCCCCCTCCCCCACCCTTAGAGATATGAATGCATTATGATAATCTATATTGAGTCAATGGCAAGGCTATAAGAATTCATTTGAGCTGTGCTGAAGTCACAGGACTAGGGGAAGGAGGAGTAAAATAATTGCTGAGACAGATAAAACCAAAATATGTGGCATGAATGTGCGGATATGTCAATCTGGAAGCCCATTATTTGCACAATTAGTGGGGCTCAGGTGGTAAAGGGCTTTTCGAGGGACAAGCGTGAGGGAATTGTCTTAATCTGAACTATTAAGAACCTGCCTTGGTCTGTTTGGGCTAACAAGACAAAATGCCCTGAAATGATGTTCTTACAGAATTCTGAGCTGGAAAGAGGGCTCAGTGGTTAAGAGCACTGGCTCTTGCAGAGGACCTGGGTTTGATTCCAAGCACCCACGTGGTGGCTCACAGCCGTCCGTGCTCCAGTCCTAAGGGACCTGCAGCCCTCTCCTGAGGGCACTGGTCACACAAATGATACACACATGTGTGCCTGCAAAACATTAATGAACGTAAATCTTTTTCAGTTGATCAGTTAAAAAACAAGAAATCTTAAATTTACCAAAACATACCACAAACTGAATAGCTTACAAACAGTGGAGTATTCCTCACAGTTCTGGAGTCTGAAGTCTCGTGCCAAACGGGCCGCCTACTTCCTGGTGCATACATGGATGGCATTGCCTTCCTGTGTTCTCAGAGATGGAAGACTAGAGTAGCTCCTACCATCCTACACTTAATACAAGTCAGGTATACGGCCTCACGACTGATCACTTCCAAAAGGCCTGCTTCCTAACACCATCACGTTGGTGACTAAATTTCAACGTAAGAATTTGGGTGGGCGGGTGTCTCACACACACACATTTAGATCACAACATGGCCTTTACTGACATTGGCATGTACCAGTTTCTATTCTGCGGCTTTAGACATAGAGCTCATCTAACCCATTCATCTGCCACAGGACAGGCAATGTTTACCATGTCCCTGTGGATGGATAGGGGGACCGGGGCCCAGTAGAATGGAGGGACTTCCCAAGTATAAAACCCTGACAGATAATAGACCCAGTATATAAACCGTGCTTTCTATTTGAAGGCCACATTCAAGATGCTTTGTCTTTTTAGCGTGTTAAGAGTCTAAAATAGACCCTAAGCCTAAACAGGCTCCTTTTAGAGGGAGGAGACGGAACTGCCGGGAAAAGAGAAGAGGATGTGGCTGGCAAGGATGGAAAACTGTAGAAAATAGAGTTGCAGATCACCGATGGGGCAGTCCGGCTCACTTAGGCTCTGTGCTGGTATTTGTTTACTTCCTGAACTAAACTGCATACAGCTTAAAGATATTCTTCATGAACAGTTGCTGTGCTTCAGGAGGACATTTATAACTTAAGTCTCTTCTGAGAGAGCCTAGCAAAATCAGAAAGCATTGTCAGACCCAGGAAGTGAGCTGGGCATGGTGGCCTTCCTCTCAGGAGGCTGGATTTGAAGCCAGATTGAGATTGGGCTACACAATGGAGTAAGTTCAAGGTCATCCAGAGCTACATGGTTAGACTCTGTCTTACACACACACACACAGACACAGAGAGAGAGAGAGACAGAGAGACAGAGAGAGAGAGCGAGCACGCAGCAGAGTTCTCATTGTGTGCTCTGGATAAGGACACGCTGCCAGGACTGAAAATGAAGTGAAAGCAGAATTACGAATGTCTGCAGTCTCAAAAGAACCAGTGTTGTTCTGAGGATGTCACTACAACGTGGCCAGGCATATGGGTAAAACGAGTTTTGTAGGGTCAGGCCCGACAGCCCTCTAGTTTTCTCAGCATGGGGAATCTTGGTCTCTTGGGAAGGTAAAGTGTTTTCCTCTTTCCTCTGGGGACATTCCGTCAGTGACATATGCTCTTTCCCTGAAAGTGCCAGGATGACTTGTAGACTTGTTAACCTGCCAGGAGCGGTGGGACACGCACGGTTAATCCCAGTCCTCAGGAGGCAGAGTCAAGTACATTTTGAAGCCAGCGTGGTCTACAGAGCGAGTTCAGGACAGCCAGGGCTACACAGAGAGACCCGTTTAAAAAAAAATAATAATAATAACTAAAAATAAAATTTAAAGATTCTAAAATCCTTGCATGATGGTAGCGCATACCTAAACAGTGCTTAGTAAGCTAAGTTCAGTCTGGGCTTCAGTTTAAGATCTTGTCTCAAGAGTAAAAGTTTTTGATTAAAAAATACTTTAAAGTGTATAGTCTCTGGAATACACTCACAAAAACGTGCACACTTCCTCGGCCTTTCCAATGTGTCATGTTCAGTCCCGCCCCTCAGTTCTGTCCTGTGCACCCTGACCCTGCAGCTTCCCTGTCCCTCGGGACCTTCATCCTTTGTAGGGGCCTTTCCAAGGCTCAGGCTCTCACTTTGGAGGAGCATCTGAGGAAAATCTGGGACATTTCTCCGTGGCTGTTCCTTACCGTGGCCCTGTCTCCATTAGTGTGTCCTTCAGCCTGTCTTGAGCACAGAGGTGGTCACTGCAGGGTGTGTGTAGGCCCTCGGTTCCAGTCACTGCTATGTGGTCGGTCTCCATGGGTCCTGGGCTTGCTTCACCCTGTCCTTCGTGACGCTGCTGCACGCATTCGTCTTGTTTGTTTAGTTTTCGAGACAAGGTTTCTCTATATTGTTTGGGAGGCTGTCCTGGCACTATAGAACAGACTTGAACTCACAGAGATCCGCCTGCCTCTGCCTCCCGAGTGCTGGGACTAAAGGCGTGCGCCACCAACGCCCGGCAGTAAATAAAATTTACTCAGAATATGAGCTCAGGGTTTCTTGACTGTAACTGTGGGTTTTCCAGTTTTATTTCTGTGTTGTGTCAGTGTTTTACCAGCCTATATGTCTGCACTAGTGGCGCCTGTGGCTATCAGAAGATGCCCTGGACCCAGAGTTATAGATGGTTGTAAACTGTTAAGTAGGTGCTGGAAACTGAACCCATGTCCTCTGCAACATCAACAAGTGCTCTCACCCACTGAACCAACTCTCCACCCTGTTAATTATAACTTTTCTATATTAAATTCTTTGGTAATAAATTGTAGAATAAAATTGAGATTATTAATTTTATTTTGGTTATTTTTTTTTAATTACATATTTTTCTATAGGTTATTTCCCTGTATTCTAGTATCTTTACCTGCAATTAAATATTACTTCCCAAATTTTTATTCATGAAATTGTTTTCAACCCAGCAGGCGCAACTCGGATTCTGCAGGCCCGTTTGCAGTGCCTGACCACCTCCGGCAAGATGTCGAGGAGTTCGAGGCTCTTTATGACCAGCACAGCAGCGAGTATGTCGTCCGCAATAAGAAGCTGTGGGACATTAACCCCAAACAGAAATGTTCCACGCTGTATGAGTAAGTAACTTTGCATCCCTATGGCTCACTTACGAGGCTGCCAAGGAAGGATCCAGGCTGTTTGATTGTGTCTCTTACACTTAACTGACATGTTCACCAGGATTGCAACCGCCACTCACTGAGCAGTCTGTGCAGTCCTGTGGTGATTCAGGTGTGGGAACGCTGCTTATTAATACTGTAGTGTTATGGGGAGAACAGCTATGTAGTATAACAAACACTTAATTTTTACGTAAGTGCTGGGTGGGATCTATCAGTCACCAGCATCCTCACTCACTGAGGGTTACTGTCTCAGGGATGGTCTTTTTCTTTTTTCCTTGCATCCCTCAGCCCTGTGCTGTGGTATATTTTGACTGTTGCAGAATAAATGCAAAATTTAATTGGAAGAGGCCAGACCGGAACTGGAATGACCAGACCGTTGACAGCTGGTGTCAGACAGAGGAAGGGCTCAGACCCCTGAATGTGGGTGTGGGTCTTGGGACGGAGTAGGTCATTGGTCAGGTGTGATGCATTCAGTTCCTCCGAACCATTGCATATTCCTGATACGCATCTTAGTGAATGTATTCTGTGCGAATGGAATGTATCGAGATCCGTTGTTTGGTCTGTCTCCCCGCCCCCTTCCCATTGGGCATTTTTGTTACTCACTGGCGTTGTTAATTTTATTTTTTTTTTTATGTACATTACACAATCAATAACGCCTGAGGTTTTTTTCTTTCCCCCAAAGGAAGAATTAAGGGGTTCTGTTCTCAGGGCACGTGGATTCCTGATTGTGTCATTGGGGCATTGATATCAGAAGTACTTTCTTGTAGCCCAATGTAAATACTGTCTTTTCCAAGTTACTTCTCTCAGCTGCTGGAGGAGCATGGCCCCTTGGACATGAATGACAAGGTATTCACTGAAGAGGGTGAGTTTTTCCCTGAAGAAACGCGGCAGATGCTAGAGAAAGCAGGCGGCCTGAAGTCTTTCCTCCTGGGATGCCCTCGGTTTGTTGTGATCGACAACTGTATCGCGCTGAAGAAGGTTGCCTCCAGGCTCAAGAAAAAAAGAAAGAAGAAAAACATGAAAACTAAGGTTGAAGAAATGTCAAAAACAGGAGAATACCTGCGAGTTAAACTGCCTCTGAACCCAAGTGCTAGGGAATTTAAACCCGATGGGAAGTCCGCAGCGGTGGGCGAGGATGTGAAGTCCGCAGCGGTGGGCGAGGACGTGAAGTCCGCAGCGGTGGGCGAGGACAGGAAGTCCGCAGCGGTGGGCGAGGACGTGAAGTCCACAGCGGTGGGCGAGGACGTGAAGTCCGCAGCGGGAGCGGCGCCCGAGGATCTGAAATCCCAGCTGGACTCTGACAGCTCTTCTGGCTCAGCGTCTGAGGACAGCAGGCTGGAAGTGGTCTCTTCTGATTCTCCCACACCACTCTGTGAGGACGTGCATCACGGGCCGGTTTCCTCTCCTTCCCCCACACCAGCTCCTGAAGGTGCCAAACCGACATACTGGGCTCAGCCGCACGTGGTCACGGGGTTCTGCACGTACCTCCCTTTTCAAGGGTTTGACATCACTCAGCCCCGGCCAGCATACATAAACATGCTGCCAAGCCTGTCCCCGTTCACTGGCATCTACACGCCTTTGGCCAGCCTTCCTTCTGAGTATCCCATGCAGAGGTCCATGCCACTGATGCCGTCTTTTGTGGCCGGTGACAGAGCAGATAAAAGCACCACTTCGTATTTTGAGAGTCATAATTTGAATGCTGAGATTGCCTCTGGCACACAGATCTTCAAGGATTCTTTGGGGATACCTGTGAAGTCCCAGAGCAGCCCAGCTGATGCCAGCACAGGTCTGAGTGAGCCTGACAGAAACAGCAGGTGTGGCGGGCACGCCGACAGCCCGTGTGAGGCTTCTGGGGACCGTATGGGTGGAGTAACACACACCCCACCCGCACCAATGGGGGCCGCACAGGTGAGAGAAAAGAATGCTTAAAAGAAACTTTTCATTATCCTTTTCTGCGTGTGTGTGACGTGTGTGTGGCATGTGTGTGTGACGTATGTGTGGCATGTGTGTGGCGTGTGTGTGACATGTGTGTGATATGTGTGTGTGTGTGGCATGTGTATGTGGTGCCTGTGCACAGATGCCACAGGGTGTCCTCCCTCCACTGTAGGACCTGGGGACTGCACACAGGTTGTTGGGCTTGTCGGTGTTTGTTGGTACACGAGCTAAGTTTGCCCTTTCATTTCCCACTGCCATTATGTTTTATATATATATATAAAAGAAATAGTTACCTTCATCTTAGTTATGAAAACTTTCTTCAAAAATATCTGTAAGCTGGGTGGTGGCATCCCAGCACTCAGGAGGCAGAGGCAGGAGGATCTCCTGTGACTTTGAGGCCAGCCTGGTCTATAGAGCAAGTTCCAGGACAGCCAGGGCTACACAGAGAAACCTGTCTCAAAAACACAGATCGAGAGAGAATATTTGTCAGTATGAGCCTTCTGAGAGGCTCCACAGGTGCCGTTGTTGTTCACACGAAGTTTGGATGAAGCAATGTATAATAATCTGATTCCTGCCAGAGTTCGACACCAATAAGAACTCAGGTGACAGAGTCAGCAGGAGGAGCCAGAGCATCATTTTCATGACTAATAAAGGAGAGGGGTTTATACACACACTGCTAACTGCAACAGCTTCATCACACAAGGTCAGGAGAGAGGTCCCCGGTCTGAGCTGCCTGTGCCCTACAACTCCCGCTATGTGCTGCCAGCACCGAGGTCAAAAGGCAGGGTCTGAGAATGAGCCTCCGTTGGAAGAGAACTTGTTTATCATGTAGAAAGCCCTGGGTTCCAGACCAGTCACTTAGTAAGTGATGAATAAACAAGAAAAAGGGAAGAATTTGGACTAGACATCCCCAGGTTCTGCCAGACCAGGAGGGGACAGCCAGGTGGAGAAATGAGCAGTTTGTGTCCTTCTCATAAGCATGCAGATAAGTCAGTGTTCTCTGTTGCTGTCCTTGAGTGTGAATTCACTGAAGTCCTTGTTGAATTCTGCCCCCTTACGGTTTTGCTTCCTAGGAGCTTTGAAAGCAATGTTGATATTACTGAGCTAGCATTGATTTTGGTTACATTCTAAATAAGAAAAAACTCCTTGGAAAGCCATGGGCATGTTTCAGGCTGTTTGTTACGCAGGGAGCTCATTTACTAGTATGGCTGAGGTCAGTTCAGTTTTAAACAGTTGCTTTGTCCCTTAGGTATCTAAGACTGTAAGAGACCAGGAAGTCAATACCGAGCCATATCAACCTTTTGAGACACAGAAGGTGAGTCAAAAGCGTATTAAATCGTTTACATATTCTATTTCTTACTAGCTGGGGCCGGCTAATCCCAAAGTTACTGTGGGGTAAGCTTTAGACTATAACAAAAACTGTTTTGGTTTTGTTGTTGAAACTTGAGAAGAAGCAAAGAAAAAGGTTAGTTTTTTTTTTTTTTTTTCCCCTTCACGTATTAATTCAAAGGCTTTGTTTTAGCTGGTGTGATAAGCGTGTATTAATGTATGACTAAGGTTATTGAAATCAACAACATCAGAAAATATAATGACTGGCATCCCTGTAATGGTTCAGTTATCTTGTTTAAAGGCAAACATCACCACTAGTATTTATTATTTTCCTGGAAATACTAACCAATAAAATTAGATACGAGAAAGAAAAAAAGGAGGTATAAGTATCCTTATTCGTGGAAATTAATACCAGAATAATTGAAAGGTAATTACGTACAAGATACTTTCCATATACTAAGATTATTTTACTTATTAAGAGAAAATATTTTTGTAGCAAAAAATCCATTTCAAGATATCTAAGCTGCTATTGAAAGACTTAATGAAGAGATGACTTGGTTGGTCGGAATGTAATGAAAAAATTGATTTTTTTCCCCCCCCATAGTCTTGATTCTTAATTCAGGACAATCTTATAATACATGTAACTTAAACAGTGTTTAATGGTTCCTATTAAGGCAGGCTGGAGTGGGCACAGCTTTAATACCAGTACTCTGGAGGAATAGGCAGGCAGATCTCCATGAGTTCAAGGCCGACCTCAAAATCTAGTGGCTTAAAATAACAGTAAACATTTGCTCTGCCACGGTTTCTATTGGTGAGAAAGCCAGGAGCTGCTTAGGAATTTTGGGTCTGGAGGACCCAATTTTGGGTCTGTTTAATCCCAGCACTCGGGAGGCAGAGGCAGGTGGATCTCTGTGAGTTCAAGGCCAGCCTGGTCTACAGAGCTAGTTCTAGGACAGGCTCCAAAGCAATACAGAGAAACCCTGTCTTGGGAAAAAAACAAAAAACAAAAATAAATAAATAAAACTGTAACAGTAATTCCTGATGTTAATTATAAAATAACATTCAAATCAAAGTTTGATCCAATATTATGCCTTTAGGAAACAAATTTTTAGAAATAATAATTATAGTTTATAGGTTGATGTTTTTTATTATAATTTTCAATATTAAAATAATAGTATTAAAAAGAGTTGGCTGTGCCAGGCGTTAGTGCTGAGAGGCAGTGGTGAGTTCAAGCCCAGCCTGGTCTCCAAAGTGAGTTCTAAGACAACCAGGGATACACAGAGAAAGCTTGTCTCGAAAGCTGGCTCTTGTGAACGGTATTTAGAGGTTTTTAATTTCTGGATTACTACAACAGTTCCCACGTGAATTTTCCTTTACCCTCCTTTGAGGCAGTGCAAACAGTGGCTGTTACTGATGCCTGTGGTTGCTCTAGGGGGACCTTTCCCGGATTGAGAAGGAGCACCACCTGCTGAGGGACCAGTTCAAGGCGGCATTCGAGAGCTATGAGCAGATCAAACTCGAGAGCTCGGAAGAGGCCAGGGACCTGGAAGAAAAGCTGAGGAGGAGCATTGAGGGGAACAAGGTGACCCTGCGGGGTGGGCGTGCACAAGCATGCGTGACACGGTAGAGCCTTACACACTGCTCCCGAGAAGACCATTATAACTCTGGGGCTTCCGTCTGTAGCTCCCTTTCTCTGTTATCTGAAACTCCAGGTCCAAATAAATTCCCACGGCAGCAGCGTCACCTGAGAGGTCACACATGTGGGGCTTGGTTCTGTCCTAATAGCTCTGCTTAGAACTATTCTGATAGAGCAGTTTAGTTACTTCACTAAGGTTTAGTTTGCATATCTGGAAAATTTGGGGAATCGTGTATTTCCTGAGTTTAACATGTACATACATGCTCGGGGCTTGGGAAGTCGTGGTTTTACTTTTTCATCTTCTTCTAAGTGAACATGAGAGTAACTAAGGGGGCCCGTGCAGTATTGCTGTCCCTGGGAGTATCTAGTTAAGACTCTGTTAGTCAGCTGGGCCGTCCGTTACATCTTGGTGAGTGGCTCCAGATAGGGAAAGCCTGGGTGCTTTAGTTGGGGCACAGAGATTACAGATGCGAGAAAATGATGTTCCTTTTTAAAGAAACTACTGCTTCCGATGCATAAAGGGCACAGAGATGCTAAGCCATTTCAGAAGGGAAAAAAGCTGTTTGAGAAGTCTGAACTAACAGCTGGAATAATACATTGAATAGCAGAAAATTACCTTACCATGACCTTGCTAGGAAACTTCATGGAGGTTGGAGTATCCCCAGGAGAAAGGGGTGGATGTTCATAGGTGACTCTGGTAACACTCCCCAGATTTGGTGAAATCGTGATAGAAACGTGGTATTGTCTCAGGCAGGTTTGCACTGACCCGTGTGGCCTCCTGTGTGAGTGAAAGGCAGATTCAGGAGCATAGATAGCCGTTTTGTGAGTGACATTCTTGACAGAGACCCCCTCCAGCTTCATAAACGGTGCTCAGGCTGGGTGCTGTGTTTGTACCGTCCCCCCCCCCCAGCCTGCTGTGGGTACAGACGGTCCCTGCTCTGGGGTACAATGTGCCCAAGAGGAGGGCTGGGACAGAGCACCTTGGCTGCTGCTCCTGGCTCTCATCCTTGAGGTCTCAGGCTTTTGAGAGAGGATCTTACTGTGTCGTGTACGCTGGGCTCTAATTAGATCCTTTGCCTCGTTCATGTTGGAAGCACAGGCAGGCAGCCATACCAGGCTCCTCTGGTCCCTTTCCTTTTGTGAGCTGTGGATGTGCTGTCATGTGACCGCACTCAGGAGCACGGCCAGTCGAGCTATTCCATCCCTCAGGACAGGGTTTACAGGTTCTAGGCGTTCCTGGTGAACTGTTACCTCTTAAGTTGTGTTTTCTGAGTTTGGTTGTGTTTTCACAAGAGTAGGTGAGAGTTAATATGATCATTTCCTTATTAATTATGAAGCAGCTTTGTCATTAAGGGTGGTGAGTGCCAACAGCACATGAACTTGGGTAATATTTTTGTTGGCAGAGCTGTGTGTGTGAATGTGCCCACACAAATGTGGTTATAATTCTATTTTTCTTTTACCTGACCTCCTGGAGATACCTTTGCCAAATAGGTTCTCATGCCCTAGCGTAACCTTGTGGTGGTTGCATATAATCTCCTTTTCACAGAGTAGGTCCAGGTGAGGTCATTGGCTCACCGTGGAAACGGTTGGCGTGCCTTCCAGCTGCACAGCAGGCAGACTTGGTCTTGGAAAGAGACGTGACCACGTAAAATACAGGAACTCATCCATGTGGTAGGCATGGGGTCATACTAGGCACAGTGATGATGTAGCCTGTTTGCAGACAGCAAGGTTTTATTAGCAAGAAAAACATGGGCAACCCCCCACCCCGTCCCCAGCCTGAGGGGGACCACAGAAGTTTTGTGCTTCTGCCACTGGGAAGAGAGAACCTCTGCATGGCGTCCATCTGCGCTCTCTCTCTCTCTCTCTCTCTCTCTCTCTCTCTCTCTCTCTCTCTCTCTCTGCCTCTGGGTTCGCGTCATTTCTGAGTTGAAACCCATTACTCCCTGTTCTATCTGTGTGGGTTTATTATAGTCATTCTTTCTGAGGGAGGAAGCCCCATCTTTCTGTAGCTGCGTCCTTCATCTCGGCGTGGTCTGAGTCTAGGCAGGAAGAGCTAAGCAATTAAAGTTTTTTTTTCTCTAGCAAAAAGGAGCACAGATTTCATTAAACAGTGTTGGTAGCCAAGGAGTTTGAGACTGAACACTGTTTAACACATTTTTAGTTGTTTTAAACAGTGCTTGGATTGTCTGGTGCACTTTAATTATTTGAAACGGTAAGGTATACCGTATCTTACCTGTGGCTGGTATTTTACCTACAGAGGTTCCCTCATCTGATGCCTTGCACCCCGAGTGGAGGGTGCTTCACAAATGACTGCAGCTTGCCCCGCGTTGGCCAGGGCAGGGCGTAAGGGAGCTGAGAAAGAGGTGTGGGGGCGGCAATGAACCTCGCCCTCCAGGGGAAGGGGATTAGCATTGGTCACCTCGAGAGTTTCTCTGCCACAGAGCCTGCACATCAGATGCCTCTAATGGTCAGCCAGAGGTGTCACATCTGTATTTCTAAGGCAAACAAAACCTGTTGAACCCCAGCTGAAACATATGCAGTCACTTCTAGGTTAGGGACTGTGTAGGCCGGAGACTGCAGTGTGGACCCTGTGGGTACACAGGGAAGGTTCTTCACAGGGTTTCACGAATACTGTGTATACCGAGTCCTGGGGCTGGGGGTGGTAGTGTGTCCACCAGTGCCAGCCAGCTGCACTGGACGTGAGTTGTTGTGTATGCTAAGATATTGTAAGATATTGTCACTGTTCTAGGTTTTGAGGGCCTTTTTTTTTTTTTTTTTTTTTTTTCTTCCAAAAAAAGTATTGCCATGATTATTCAAGTATTTTCTAAAATGCTTTTAGATCTCCAAGACAGAATTAGACTGGTTCCTCCAAGATCTGGACAAAGAAATTAAAAAATGGCAACAAGAGAAAAAAGAAATCCAAGAAAGACTAAAGGCCCTGAAGAAAAAAATTAAAAAGGTTGTAAATGCCAGTGAAATGTAAGTAACTGTTGAAGGATGGTGTTACTTTTGTAATATCCTGTTGTTTGAGTCCTGTCACATTCTTTGTACTTAATTTCAGATGTATATCAAGTAAAAAGCCTTTATTGATACCATTTTCACAATTGCTTTTTATTTTTGAAACGCTTCTATGAAGAATTCTTTCACCTAAAACTTTGTCTGGAGAGGTGTGTTTTCAGACCCGTTACAGATGTGTTCTGGAACTGAGTAAACAAAGGTGCAGTTGCCTTTACGAATGAACATCGCTCCGAGTGAACATTTTTACTGCCTATGCCGCGCTGGCCAGGAGAGGGTGTCTGTCATCTCACTGTGTAACCCTGCCTGTCCTTAAACTTGAGATTTCCCTGTCGTGTCCCTGAATAGCTGGGATTCCAAGTGCATGCATTCCTGGAAACAAAAACTAAAACTTGCTCTAAGTAACAACATGACGCAGTACAGTGTGGCCGTCTGAGTTCACGGGGAGCTTTATTTATTTATTTTCTTCGCTGTTAGGCACAGTTCATTGTGTGTAGTTGTAGTGAAAAAAACCTGGAAGGTAGCTAAGTTTTTGTGGCTGCTTTTATAGGTCTGCCCACAAAAATGATGGGCTAGATAGGGAATGCGGGCCACACCTGGCCCAGTCCCTGGGAATCAGGCAAACCAAGCTTTAATTATTCTTAGCGTCTTTCACTACAATCTAACTTATCTGTCTCTCTCAAAAAGTTCTCAAGGCTCAAATGCATATATTCAGGTTTCTAGGAAATGGCCAGATTTATTGCTGCCATTTACTACTTTTCTTTATTTTGAAGTAGGGTCTCACTGTGCAGCCCTGGCTGGCCTAGAGCCGACTCTGTAGACCAGACTGGCCTTGAACTCACATCCATCACCAGCCTCTGCTTCCCGAGCGCTGGGGTCACAGGCATCAGCCACCATGCCTGACTTTTTCATCTCTTTTTTCCCTTTAATTAACTTGAAACTGAAAGTGTATTTGAAGCACTCTCCTGAGGGACAGTGTGTCTCAGTGTGTGCTTCCCCAACGCGCAGAGTGTGGCTGGGCTCCAGACCCGCCTTAGAAAACGCCACTCTCAGTGTGCACTTGGTTTGTTTAATAGTTTTCATTGCGAACCTGCAGAGTTCCCTTTGAATTATTACTAATGGACACTGTGGATCAGCAGTTGTGTTTTGCTTTGCTTGTGTATTGCCATTGTGCATAATCTTTTCTGTTCCATCGTCTTCTCCGGCCTTCCTTGTTACTGTAGTGCATGGCCTTGGTGGAACAGGAAATCAATCAGTCCAGGCTTACAGAGAAGGAAGGGCACAGTGTTTTCTTCTGTGCAGACCACAGACTCTAGTTCTCATGTGTGCACATAGAGAGGGGACCATGGGGAAAAAGGAGACCTTGCAGTGAAAAGTGAAACAAAGAGAGAGTAATGGGGGGAAGGGTAGGTCAGCGGGAGGAGGTCAGAGGTCAGGGGGTTCTGAAATTGTCACAGCGAAACACGGTGCTTTGTATGTTAGTTTTTAAAAGTGTGGCATGGTCAGTTTGTGCTGATCACCTTTTCCCTGTGTTTATAACAACCCCATGATGGAGTTTCTTGCTTGAAATGTAGAGGGTGCGTAAGAACAGTTATCTGTTTATCTAGATGGCCCCGCATATCCTCAACAGCCAGTGAGCTGGAGCTGGGAACGTGGCTGTCTGCAGGCGCATGCCATTTTGTACCCCAGCATCCACTCATAGCCACGACTGGAGGCGGACACAGGAGGGTCCCTGGGGCTCACTGGCACCGCTGGAGCCCAGCTGAGATCCAGAGCTCATCCAGAGCCCCTGTCTCAAGTAGAGCAAAGTGGGTGGCTCCTGAGTAATCACACTCAAAGTTAATTAACGTGTGACCTCCATAGACACCCACCTTTACCTCTGCCTGGGTGCATGCGCTCTCGCGCTCGCTCTCTCTCTCTCTCTCCCTCCCTCCCTCCCCCTCTCTGTCACACGCACGCACGCACGCACACACACATGTGATCTCTACACTTCTTCCAGACACTCCCTTTTGGTTTCTTACCTTCCTTTGGTGACTGGACAAGTGAGTGAACCAATCGCGTGGGTGCACGTGAGGCAGAAATGACTCTGGAAAACGTGACGTGGCTCCAGAGCTAACCTCACGGTTTAGATCGTGTCGTCAAGGCTTTCTCTTGCTGTTGACAGAGTTGCGCTCACAGATGAGAAGGTGCTGGTAGAGGAGTCTATCCGGAAGGGGAGAGAGCAGTATGAAGACAGCCATCAAAGAGCAGTGGCTGCAGAGGTGAGTCCAGACGGGTGGTGAGCAGCGAGGGCAAGGGCCCTTTGCTCGTGTTTCCTAGAACAGTGCTGTTGTAGGAGCTGGGAAAGTAAGGGGCAGGGCTGTCATCCGTAACCCGGTTTCTAAATAAAGTAGCTGTTACTTTTCTTTGCCTAAGGACTTGCAGTTTTTATTCCTTCTTTTCAGTGTTGGGACCTCGTGTTCTCCAGGCAGGCACCTCACTCTAGTGCAAACCTAGACCTCAAGTTTCATACTGGTTTCAGAGAAGTGCCCATCAATAGATCTCAGAATTCTTACGTAACATAATCTAGTTATTCCTCATGCTTTTCATGGAGTGTCTTCATCATACTTAATGAAGTGGCATGCTGTGAAGTATGTCAATATTTAGCACTCCTTCAAAAGCAAATTAAAAGCCTCCACCACCACACGCACGCACGCACCCACGCACGCACGCACCCCAGGCTGGAGCGCTAGCTCCCTGCTGGTAAAGTGCCTGTGCTTGCTGAACAGCAAGGACCTGAGTCCCGTCCCTAAAGGTCCCCCTGGCATTGGGAGGGCAGGGCTAGACAGATCTGGGGCTCACTAGCAAGACAGTTTCTCCTGCTTAGCGAAAGACCTCTTCTTAAATGAACAAACAAAAGGTGGGGTGAATGTGAGAAACGACTCCAGAGATCGTCCATGTGTTCTCACAGAAGTACACCAGAGCCTACTTAATAAATAAAATAAATTACAAGTAGAGATCGTCCATGTGTTCTTACAGAAACACACCAGAGCCTACTTAATAAATAAATTACAATTCAAGCACCACTGCTGTGTTGGTGACTTGTAATTCTGTTCTCAGATACTGCAAGAAGCAGATTGGGGAATCACAGGTTCAAGGCCAGCTTATCCCTACAGACGAAAGAAAAATGTGTGTGCATGTTTGGGTGTTTGCATGTTTACATTTTCTTCAGTCCCCTAGAGAAATAGACTGTTAAAGTTGGTATACTATGTGAAAAACTAAAACAAAGGAAAATGGTTATGTGTAACACCCGCTTTATTTTACCTGTTTTTGTGTTTCTAAAATGGTTTTCGGGTTTTATCTAAGAACAAGTTGTTTGCTGTGACGTGCATGTGTGGTTTTTCTGGGCAAATGAGAAACGGACTGAGTTGGGCGATCGGGGAAGCTGACTAACGAGCTGGCTGCCTTGCCACGCAGCCTTTGATTTCCCGGCCCCTTAGTTGACACTCTGGCTACTTGGCAGCACGTTTGTCTGGCCTGTGTGGGTCATCGGCGCCTGGGTTAACTTGAGGCTACTCCACGTGTCCTGCACTGAGCACTTGAGTGCTCACTGTGGCTGGAGACGGTGGTGTAAACCTCCCCACGCTCCGGTAACCTGGCTCTGTGCTCGGGGTGGGATACACAGTCATGAGGTTTCGTGTCACCAAGTAGATGTTTTTGGTGTCATTTTCAAATCCTCAGTTTTTCACCTCTGTCACCTGATGAAATTACAGCACGATTAAAGAGAAACTGGAAAGTTCTTAACGTTTACACACACACTTTTCAAGTCGTTTCAGGTTTCGTTTGTAAAATATCCGTGTGTCCTCTGATGTTTCGACAGGTATCTGTCCTTGAAAATTGGAAGGAGCGAGAAATCTATAAATTACAGAGTATGGCATCACAAGCAGAAACCTATCTTAAACATCTCAAGCTGACGGACAGGTACCTGGCCCTAAGTGTTCTTCCCTTCTTGCATTTGGGAAATAAAGTTAGAAACACTTGAAGAAAAATGTTTATGTAAAATGTTTTTCCTGATTTTGATTATGCCCCCCACACAAAAAAAAAAGATGAAAATCAAGACAATTAAAGGACCAGTGTGACCAAAATAAAGTGTGGGGGCAAAGTAAAACGTCAAAGAGCAAAAGTACACTCTGTCCACCCACCCCTGGGCTTTGGGCCTTCCCTGGGTGTGTGTGTGTGTGTGTGTGTGTCTGTGTGTGTGTGTGTGTGTGTGTGTGTGTGTGTGAAGTACCCAGTGAGGTTCCTTTGGAGAAGACTGATTTTCCCTTTGACTTTGGGTGTCTGCTTCTCCAGTCAGGAGACTGCAGTGTGCATTACCTCACCTGCTCTAAAATCTGCAATTTCAAAAACACTTTGTATTGTATGTTTGCTTCTGTTTACCTTTTGTTTTGTGTTTTTTTTTTTTTGTTTTTTTTTTTTTTTTTTTTGTTTTTGTTTTTGTTTTTGTTTTTGGCGGGAGTGGGGAGGAGTTTCTGTCCTGGATCTCGCTCTGTAGACCAGGCTGGTCTCGGACTCACAGAGATCCCCCTGCTTCTGCCTCCCAAGTGCTGGGATTAAAGACGTGCACCACAACCACATGGCCTCTGTTTGCCTTTGAATGCTTTTAATTTTTCCAGGCTATAACATGGACATTAAGCAGTTTTTTACTTTTGAAATTTTCCAGTGATTCTGCATCATACCCCGACATGGAGAGTGATACACACTCGTGGGAATCGTTTCTTTCTAATGTAGGAGAGGAGATTGAAAGCACAAAGGTATGGTAGAAAACGTGTCGTAATTCCACCAAAGTCCTTAGGGTGGCGTATGTTACTGAAATTACTAGGAATATTTCATGAAATTAGTGATACTTTCTTAATTATCTTAGAGCATTTCTTAGCATGCATAGCACCCTGGGAAGGGACAGGAGGAATCACAGGAGGCTTCCCAGTGCCCGATGATGAGGTCTCCCCCAGCTTGCTTTAGTGGACTGCAGGCCAAGTCTGCCCGGCAAGGGTCAGGTCACCCTGAGCTCTTCAGCGCCTCTCAGTCATTGTTGACTTCCTTAGAAAGATTATCTTAAAGCTTTACTCACAGATAATTCTCGGGACACTCTTGGTCATGATAGTAATCTGACAAAAGAATACTAATTGAAACTGCTTGTCTTTTGGAACTGGTTAGAAAAACTTCACATTTCGCTTCTACTTACAGTCCCAGTTTGAAGATCGAATTAAGGCCGTTAAAAATGGCTCTCGTCTCTGTGAACTTTCCACAGTGGGGACTGCTGAGCTTTCATTTCCTGCCTGGACAACGGTAAGTGAGGGGAGATGCGTAACCCCGATCTCTTTGACCGTACAAATAGTTGTCTTTATTTTTTGAAAACGGGGATTGGCCAGTCTTAGCATTTCCAGATTGGTGCTGCTTGTAGCTTTTAAGCTTTAAACATTCTAACATAAATGGATCAGTGTTTCTATAACCAAGCATTAGAACAGGGCTAAGATGTACGTGTGTGTGTGTGTGTGTGTGAGTGTGTGTGTCTGTGTGTATGTCTGTGTGTGTGTGGGGGGGGAGGAATGAACTACGTTATGTGTAGTCTCTCATGTAAACAAGCACTCTGAGTAGCAGTATGTGTGGTTGAGGCAGCAGATACTGTCACCATCATCCTAGATGCTTGGCGGATGACAGTCTTGAGTTAAGTCTGTTTCCTCATCAGTTACAAAGCAGAATGAGACACGAAGGATTCACTGCTCTAGCATGTTGTATTTGGTGGCTTGTCTGAGGTATGTCCTCAGTCCTTCAAGTGACAGTGCTTGCTAAACTTTATCATTTTATTTTATTTTGTGGACTTCATAGAAAGGCTAACCGTAATTGTCACTTTGTTAAATTTTGAGCTCCAGTTCCTGGGATTTAGAATTCAGGTATTGCAGGCCTCTGTTGGATTTCAGAGTATCAGCATGTCTTTGTACTCCCTCTGCTTTTCCTGTGCCTGCCTTGACCGGTGTGCTGTGGGCACATCCAGCTGGACCTTCCTCCAGCTAAGATACTGTCATAGTGCCCCAGCTCTGGCCTTTACCTGAAAGGCTCCCTCTGCTTCCTCTCTCCCTTCCCCTCACCATTATAAGGGAAGTCACCTCAGTCTAATTTCCTCGGTGCCTGACAGCCTATCTGCTCTTCCAGAGGACCTGGGTTCGATTCCCAGCACCACACTGGGTCACGGCATCTGTGACTCCGGTTCCAGGGCATCTAATGCCCTTTTCTGGCCTCTGAAGACATCAGCTGTCACATAGTACATAGACTTAAATGCAAGCTGAGCATTCGTGCACATAAAATAAGTAAAAGTAAATTAATGTTTTAGGAATGGAAGGTATGGCCTACCCTGCCTTGACTCTCGTGAGGAACAAGTTCTTGCTACACAGAGGGAATTCCACAGTTCTGTTTCTCCAGGTGACTCCAGCAAATATGAAGGGAGAGAATCAGTGGCTTTATTAACTAATAATTTTATTTTTGTAATTTCATAACTATTCAGAATGTTTTCATTCCAAATTCTGAGACCTCTCAGTCAATCAGGAATTTGTGTAAAAATGTATCCTTAAAAACCGTTTATTGTCTTAATCCCAGCACTTGGGAGGCAGAAGCAGGCAGATCTCTGTGAGTTCAAGGCCAGCCTGGTTTATAGAGCGAGTTCCAGGACTACACAGGGAAACTGTCTTGATAGACAAAACAACAACAAAGCAAAAACACTGTTTTGTGCCTCGTTTCTTCTTACTTGTTAACAGGGTGCTCATGACTCAATGTCGCTGGGCTCTCGGTACTGTAGGCATGGCGAAAGACAGACCTTAAACCCAGTGCCCAGTTACAAAGAAGACACACCAATGTTTTCCCGCTGAATGCTCCCGCGACATAAATTCTCATCTAGGATAGGAAAGGGATAAGAGGGTAGTGTTTGGGTGGGCGGGAGCCAGTGCTTGCAGTGGACAGAGCATGTGCTGGGAGGCTAGAAGTAAACAGGCACCCGCTGTGTGTTCTTTGGGAAGGGACATGCGGAGCACTAAAGAACCTTCCAGAACCAGGCAGAGGACCGGTGCTTTGCCCCTGAAGCTCCACTATTGGAAACCCCATCATTGGAAGGCTGTGGTCTAGGGTTCTCATCAGAGAAAAGATGAATGGGGGAGGCGTAGATGGGCGTGCAAGCTGGGGCGAGTTCTGCTTGGCAGTGTTTGGGGAACGGAGCCCTAGGTGGGAGCGTGTGCTGCTCACCAGACGGGAGCAGTGTGGTTCAGGTGAACCTGCCTTTGAGCACATTGAGTCGTTTCCCCAGATCACCCATGTGGATGTGGGGTAAGAGTCTCGGGAAAATATTCTAGTCTAGGAAGTGTGTGCTGGGCTGGGGGGAGGGGAGCCTAGGGTGAGATTCTGGGCTCCGACCGCAGAAGGTGTGGACAGAAGGTAAGAGCTACGAAGAGCTGAGCTGCAGAGAGAGGGGAGGACAGCACTTCTACGGCTTCCTGTGCCCTGGGTAGGTAGAGACGGCTTTTCGGAATGTTAGGGCTGCCGGTTCTGATCACTTAAATAGCTCAGCTACCAGGGCTGAGGTGTGGTTGGGCACACTGGAGGGGTGTGACTACAAGTCACAGAACTATGTATGTTGTAATGAGAATTTACAATTATTGATTCTTTAAAAATAAAAATTAATTTCTGTATTCAAGTTTGCTGAGCGTTGTGGGCATGCATACTGACCAATTAATTTTTCACCTTGTCACTTGAGGCCAGCCCTAAGCTCTAAGTGACCCAACTGCTGTGGACTTCTTCTCAACAGATTCGTCCTCAGTCACCCTCTGAGTCTTCAGGCCATGAGGACCGAGGGCCGGTGACTTCCATAGACATGACTGGAGCCGTCTACCAGGATTCTCATATGGAGCCTGCTAGCGGCTGCGCAGAGGAGGGTCCTGAACTGTCACCAGGATCACCCGCCCATCAGCTCAGGAGAGCCAGCCAAGTGTCCCCATCAGAGCAAATCCCTGAGGCTGATGAGAAACCACCCGGACAGGCCACTCGCTCAAGCCAGTCTCAAAAAAAGCCTTTCAACAGTGTTATTGAACACTTGTCGGTGATATTCCCATGCTATACCAGGTGTGACTAGATGTTTGTGACTGTTAAATACGTCATTAACTGTTTCCTAATAAGATAAAACCACGGCCAGTTTAGGGGTCGATGTGAAAAGGGCTTTGGTAATTGTTCTGCTGAGAAAGACACTTCAGTTCATGTGACCATAGTATTGTGGCGGTGGGGTTAACGCAGGGCTCTGTGAGGCAAAGGCTCCAGCACTTGAGCCGCACACCCAAGCCACAGGTAAGTGTGTAACATTCATATCAAGATTGATATGTGCCAGGCGTGGTGGCGCACACATTCAGTCCAGCACTGGGGAGGCAGAGGCACGCAGATCTCTGTGAGTTCAAGGTCAGCCTGGTCTACACAAAGAAACCCTGAACACAAAAAAAAAAAAACTGAATGCTTGACCACTGAGTAACCCAAAGCAGAACCCATAGTAACAGTAATTTGCTGGGACTTGATGAGGTCTGTAACACACCAACATTATTTGTTGTGAACTCAGTAAATGAACTGTAAAATAAGTTATGTTCATACGGGAAAAAAGATAGCAAAGAACACACTAACATCTTAATGTTTTTATAAACAAGAAGTCAGATTTGTGTTAATTAGCGTGAGGTGAATAGACTAAATTGAATTCAGTACCAGCGTGTGTGTACATACTGCCAAAGGAGCCCTGTGAGTCTCGGGAAGAGCTGCCCCCAGTCAGGGCTAGCTTCTGGTCAGTGCAGACACAGAGTAAGGTCTGGGGGCAGCTAAAAGACAACTCTGCACAATGACACTTTGTGCCTGCTTTGCTTGTCTTTCTCGGTGTTAATGACAGGCTATGAAGTTGAAATTTAGGAATAAAGTCGTCATTAAAAATGTCTGGGGCAGCTGGGGAGATGATTCACTTTGCTAAAGTACTTGTGCAAGCTTGAGGACCCGAGTTCAGATCCCCATCACCCTCATGGGCAGCCAGCCAGTGCTGTGATCCTGGCAGAGCAGAGACCAGTCTGTCCTTTCTCAGAAATAAGCTGCAGAGTGATTGAGAAGCACACCCGGGGTTACCCTCTTATGTACACACATATGATGGGCCAGAAGGAATGTTTCCTGTGTCAGCGGAGCCCTGCCCACGAGGGGAAGACCACTGTGCAGACTTTAAAACTGCTGAACTACTTAGTTACTTGAGACAAATCATTCTGCCTTAAACAATCTTTCTGCAGTTAACTGGTCGGCAGGCCTTCGGGTAATCTTTCTGTATGGTCACCGTAGTTAAAACTGTGGTCGGCAGCCTTGGGTGGTGAGTTAATCTTTCTGTATGGTCACCGTAGTTAAAACTGTGGTCGGCAGCCTTGGGTGGTGAGTTAATCTTTCTGTATGGTCACCGTAGTTAAAACTGTGGTCGGCAGCCTTGGGTGGTGAGTTAATCTTTCTGTATGGTCACCGTAGTTAACTGTGGCCGACAGCCTTGGGTGGCGAGTGGACATAGACATTTAATCATTTGCGTTTCTCTTTCAGCACTGAGCTTGCTGGTTTTGTTAAAAAAGTTCGAAACAAAAATAAGAACTCACTCTCTGGGTTAAGTATTGAGGAGACTGTTGAGAGAGTGACGGAGCACATTCTAGAGGAACAGAAGAAGAAAAAGGTAAGGTGTCTTTGCTTGTTTATTAAACATTTATAAAATGTGAGACCAAAAACTTCAAGCCCCCGTGAGGGAGAAGCTAGATTAGGAGGCCAAACTTGAGTGTCTGTACTTTGTTTCCTCTTTCCTACATCATCACCTCTGTAGCCAAATGCAGGAAAAGACAATAAGACATCCGAGGCTCAGTCTGCTGCCGCTGTGGCCAAGTCCTCCCAGAGTGCACCCTTGGCTGTCGTGGGACCGTCATCCAAAAGCAAAGGCCAGAAAAGAGAGGATGTCCCCGTGAGCCCTGTGAGTATCACCTGGACAGCTGCAACACTCAGTTCCCTCTTTAGTGAGGATGGAAGGGCACGGAATGTTTAATTCATGAGGCAGCTAAAACCCACTTGCAGAAGATTCATTTCTTGCTTCCGAGGTGCTCAGAATTAAGAAGTCAAATGGGGGTCAGTGCACTATAGGGTGGTGGTCTTGGTTCTGCTGTCCCGTAGAAAGTACTGTGCTCACCACACTGAATATGGAGGTCTCATCTCCTGTGTTCATCTCCACACCCCGGACTGCAGCCTTTCTATTGGCGTGTACTGGTGAACCACCAGTATGTTCTGTTTGGATTTGTGCTAATAATCCATACTTAGATAAACCTGAGAAAGTAGCAAAGGGAAAAATTAAGCCTATCTCAGCCAGGGGTAATCTCGTTAACATTTTATATATCATAGTCTTTTCTGGGTCTGTCTATAGGTACATAGTCTATTGGGTTTTTTTTTTAAGTCAATTACATAATCAGTACTGCCATCAACTGCATTGATCCAGAGATCCGTTGTGATCCACTTTCTGTGTTGCTCCTGTTCAGTTTCAAACACTGTGATTGGCCATCGAATAGCTGAGTCCCTGACTGATTTGGAGTATTAAACTATTTATTAAAGGTGTGTGCCACCACGCCTGGCTGGAAACTGTTTTAAAACAAGCTATTTTTCAATCTTTTCAACCATAATTGGGAAATAATCTACCACCTTTGTGACGAAAAAAAAAATTTAGGCCACTCAAGTACTGTCATTAAAAAGTTACTTTATTAATTAAATACGTTTGTTTCTGCAGGCACCAGATGCAAATTTCTGTGAGATATGCCACGAGATATTCAAGTCAAAAAACATGCGTGTGCTAAAATGTGGGCACAAGTTTCACAAAGGGGTAAGAGTTCTCTCTTGACTGCTTATCAAGCACTGTGAAAATAAAACTGGATTGATTTATTTATTTAGTTATTTATTTATTGGTATCAGTGCTTGTGTCTCTGAATCCATTTTTTTTCTTTGTAAATCTGTGCAGTGTTCCTAGGCCTATGGATTCATTGGGTGTTTTGAGAAGTGCGTAGGGTCTTACCAGGGTGTCCGTAGCTCTGTAGACTGGATAGGTCCGGGTCTCAAAGCAATATTAATTCCTTGAAAGGTGGCTTCTTACTTGACTAAATATATAAATAGTGTACTGTGTCTGTTCAGTGTGGCATAGGAAGCTGCCATGTTAGAGACAAGTGTCCTTACGGGACTGAGTACTAATTTTCTCCATGTCCTGGACACTGCTGGCTTAGGACAGATCGGCTCTTTACTGAGTTCATTAACCCTAAGAAAGGTTTGCAGCACCCCCTTCAGCTGATGCCCCACATGCCTGCCCAGCCATGTGACAGCAACAAGAAATGCTGGACACAGGCTGATGAGGCCCTCAGGAGCCAGCATTGAGTGATTTTTGTGGCCACAAACCTGGCAGTGTGTACAGATCAGGGAAGGAAGCTTAGATGGAGGCCAGGGTGTCAGGAAGGAGAAGGCCCTTGAGGAGACCGTGAGTGTGACTCTGGAGCACAGTTGTGTCCTGCCAGAGTGCAGTGCTGAGAGACCCGAGCCATCGGTCCCGCGGGCACTGGCTCATCTGTGTCCCCTTTTTCAGTGCTTCAAGCAGTGGCTTAAAGGGCAGAGCACTTGTCCCGCCTGCGGCAGTGGGGACCTGCTGTCGGAAGAGTAGCCTGCTGCACCGTCCTGACGGAACCAGCCCAGCCCAGACGGGCGGAACCGCCTTCCTGTTGCTGTAGGCCGTCACCCTTCACTGATGCCCCGTTCACTGGCGCCATGCGCTGGAATAACAACCATGTCTTGTTACCAGTATGAAACCAGAAACGTGAAAACTTGTGCACTTCACACGGAGTCTTGAGTGCAGTCCATACCACGTTCCAAGCAAGTGACAGCCATGTGCGGGCCTCTGCGATGCCGCATCACTGCATTGCTGCACGGTTGGGGCTGCTGCGGGGAAGCAGCCGCCTTCAGAAAGAGCAGCGCCCCGATTGTAAGGATTCTGAGCCGCTTCGGGTCTTGCCTGGGACTGCAGGGTCTCCTTCACAGATTTTTAAAGCCCTTATGATCTGATTGATTGATCCTCATTTTGAAAAGCAATTCTAAAATTGCTTTTTTAAAACAAGTTTGACCTCGGACTTTTTTCCCTGGAAACCGGCTTCCTGTTGCATTAGTTCACACTTGACGCCTACACTGATTTCTGTGCTGGTCTCATTAAGCTCCTCAGCCCGTGCTTGCTTGGAAGTGTCCAGCCAGCGGTGCTGAACTCAAGAGCACTGTGTAGAACCATTCACCATCCTTCCTTTTCCTACCGCCAAAAACAGAAATGTGCCCGACAGTCCTGAAGTGTTGGTGTCACTCAGCTGTTCTGTGTTTTGACTTTTGTGTAAATTAATGCATGCAGTCTTGTATTGTGGCCTGAAAACAATCTAACTGCATTAGAAACTATTCAAAACTAGCTATTTTATAGTGACCTGTAGTCGGTGGCAAATACAGAAGAAACTTGAACCCTGGATGCATTCCATTCTCTCAAACATGAAGAAACAAGCAAACAGTGTTTTCCAGCGTGTTCTCTGTTGCAGTGACAGGCTAGGTCACCTCCTTTCTACCTGTTTCCGTGTGAGATGTGGTGTCTAGTGACTTAGTCTATAGCCGTTCGTTCCCTGTTCTGAGACACTGTGCGTGGTGGTCCCTGAAACGTGATCTGCATGCTCCAACAGTTGAGAGCAGCGTACATTAAAATACACAGGGGCAGACCGCAGTGTCTGGTACAAAGGAGAGTAGCTGCTTCCAGAATGAACCTCTGTGCTCCGCAGAGCCTGTGAACATGCCTTATACTTGTGCAGTAACTGTCAATAAAAGCATTCAGAAAGATAAGCAGCCCGCTGTCGTTCTTGTCCATTCTTCCCAGGTACCTTAAGTTTCATTCTGCTTGAAAATTCAGCTGTGCTGACAAATGCTGAAACGGTGACTGTCAGGCATGCTGCGTCCGGGAAGTCTTGACTAAGAACCTGGGTTATTTTAGAGGCCAGGTGAGAACATTCCTCAGTACAGCTTGCCAAGCTCGGCTGTCCAGTTTGTGAGCAGAACGTTTACACAGGAGGCGATAGAGAGTTGACTGCCGGGCTAAGTGGAAGCTTTGTGTGGGCACACGGAAAGATGCTGAGATGAGCGTGTCTTGGGGCTTTGTTTCTGAGGGACTTCAGGGTCCATGGATTACTGAAGCTGATGGACAGCAGTGGCGTTTTAAAGGTCCTTTTGAATATGATGGGTGCGGACAGACTATTAAAGAAAAGTTTATTAATAAGCAGATTTAATAAAAGGTGTTCAAGCACCTGTTGGAGAGGCTGATGATACCAAGTGTGCCTGCCTTAGAACAAGGTTGTCAGACACATTCTTCAGGGTGTTTACATGCCAGAGGATGCTTTTCAAATCTTGGGTTAATGGCACGGTATTGTACTTGAGGCTCACAATCCTTTGTGGATACAGCTTCTTAATGAGCTCCTCCCAATTCAGACTGAATTCCAACACTCAGTTCTCAAAATGTGAGGAAATGGACAAGATGCACACACACACACACACGCACGCACGCACACACCCCTTGTGTAAGGCCAAGGGTGTGGACAGTCCTCCGCCCCAATCTCCATGATGGCTTTAGTAAGACGCATGCACAATTTTAACCTACTATCCATTCAAGTGTATTCAAACAGTAGCATTTAATTCAAGTAATACATAACTTGAAGTAGTAGCTATTTATGCCTTAAAATTTGAATTATTTGTCTCTGAATTGCTTAATCTGTGTTATGAATAACAGGTAATTAATATCAAACTCCGGTGGTGCCTCAGCAGTACAGATGTTGTATTTGTGAGGTAATGTGGGAGACAGGAGTGGAGCCGAGTGGAAAGCGCTCTCTCACACCACAGCCCTCACAGCAAAAGTGGTTTGGTCACTCCTCAGGCGTCACCGTCTCCGGAGAGGTGGGTTCGGGGACAGAATTGACGGCAAAGGTGGGTACCGAGGCTGGGGACAGGGTGGCTGTTCCACACAAGGATCGGACCAGCTCCTGCCGGACGCTGCCGGAAGGAGGCAGTGGTCACTTGTGTCTGGGGCCTCTTTGTTTACTCCATCTCGACAGTGGCCCATGCATCCACCTTCACGCAGTTACCCACCTTAGTGTCTGGACAGGCACTGCCAGCCATGGAAACATTGGGAATGGAACCGGTCACTACAGAGCGACTTGAACACCTGTTGCGTGCATAGTTGATGAGGTAGTAAACAAGAAATTGCCCCTGAGAATATCATCAGAGTATGATACATTCACAGAAGAAAACGTCACAGCACCATTCTGTACAAATAGTGAAGTGTAAACTACAAGGCATGGCCAGAAGAGGCTTGTCTTTCCATTGTATAAATAGCAAGTAATGTAATCATCTGGGGCACTTAGGCCTCTGATAAAGGGGACTGGCCATTGGGTGAAGAGCCTTTGCATTGCACTGGGCAGGCTTGGTCCTCTAGAAGTTCTGTTAGCTGAGGTAGCACCTTAACAGCATCATCTGAACCAGAACTGGATCAGATGTCTCAAAGTCATTTTGAAAAATTCTTTGCATTCCTGACCCCAGGACACTGTGATCCTGATCTTTTCTGTAACAGGATAATTTCGTCTGTATCTGCCCCAAAGTGTCTATGTGAGTCATTGAGTTACCCTATCCTGTCTACTCGTTCAGGTTGGGGCAGACATTCGCACTGGTACCTTGGAAGGACCTGGGCTTAGTGTGAGAACTCTCCATGCTATCATGTGTGGATTCACTGGCCCCTGCTTTAAAGACTGGGGAGAGAGGGATTAGCAAAAGTACAGAAATTCTAGTCAACCAAAAAGTCATAGTGAGTGGGCTATTAGCCTAAGCAAACTGATTGGCATCAAGCCACAAAAAGACTTTAGCTACAATAAGAGTAACGATGTTGGATATCCCCACGGGAATCCTTTAGTCTGCCACAGAGTATACAGACCAGATGGTTCCAGGTGGAACGGTCCTAAAATGTGTCCCTTCTACAAGATAACAGGTGATTAGAAAGCCATGAGGAGGCCAGGCATTGGTGGCGCACACCTTTAATCCCAGCTCTTGGAAGGCAGAGGCGGGCGGGATCTCTGAGTTCCAGGACAGCCAGGGCTCCACAGGGGACCCTGTCTTCAAATACAAGAAGAAAAAGGAAGCAAACCGCGAGAGTAAGAGGCGGTAAGCAGGCTGCGTACATTCCCACAAAAAAAGTGAAGACAAGCCCGGGTGGTCTGTAGACGTCCTGGTACGGATTGAAACCTTGGTAGGACGGTGGTGTGCCTTGTCCACAGCTTGCAGGACACCAGTATGAGGGCTTTGGGTTGGTGAGGGTTCTGTGAACCCGTGTTCACATGCTACATTAAAAGCAAAAGCAGCTACTTAGTGTAACTTACTGCCCACGTCCGGTTGTTTCGTGAGATACTACATAATGAGTTGTGCTCAGCTGTAGCACACTGGTAGTGTAAAATCATCAGTGGATTCGAGAAACAGCCAGATAAACACGGGGCCTTGCCCACTTGAAGGAAATTGTAGGTACCCTTCTGCTGATTGGAGTCCACCAGCCCTGCGTAGATGATTCTCTGCTGAATGAACTCCTTTCTGGCACCCTCTGGCTAAGGGACTCACCCTTGCTGGCCCATCAGTCCCTGAGCCAGGGACACAGACAGCCTGTTTGACACAGGCTCTTCGTAGTTCCTTGGGAGCAAGAAGCTTCTACGTGAGTACCTGATGCCGATCCCACACTGAAGGTAACTCGACTTGTCCCCCGAGAGGGTAACGGACCAGGCTCTGGGCCTTGTCAGGAACCTTCCAAGCAGAGTGGAAATTGCCATATTCTATGGCCCTGGGTGCTTCCAGAAGAGAGCCACACACTTCCTATTGTGCCTTTGTGTCCAACAGCGGTGTTATTGTTTTCAGCAAAGACCTTGAGGCCCTAATGAATAAGCGCGGTCCTCCTCCTCCGTGCTTCAAAAGCTATGTATGAAGGCATCCTGCCGGATTCCTGTAGTGTCTATTTCAGCTTCTGTTTGTTTGGTGTGATAGAAAGGTCCCAATTTAGACCTTCCTGCCACCGGTTCCAAGAAATCCACCACCAGCTCCAAGTTTCGTGTCCTGAAGTGCCACCCCGTTCCAGTGGGGTGAGCCAGCCGTCTCCAAAAAGAGAGCGGTCGGACAGATGGCCATTGTGCTCGCAGACGCTGGCTGCTGCCCAGCGCCAGCAGGGCTCTGGCTTCCTTCTGTCCTCTGGGGAGGACACGCTCTTGCTCCCAGAGGCACAGCCGCCAAAGTCTCCAACCTGCCAGACCAAAAGCTGAAGCCAAGCTTTCGGGCACCGAGGGTACCCTTCCTCTCCTGTCCCTCTGTCCCTCAGACAGGTCCTGACCCTCTCCTCATATGGGCCTTGCAGGGGCCTTGGAATACCCTAGCTGGTGTCCCTGGGAGCAAGCCGAATGGCTCTGGCCACCGTGATGGCTGCACAACACATTGACCTGTCATTGTTCATCCGCTAGTCCATCAAATGTGCCACGGGCAGGCACAGTTCTAGTGCCCCAGTTACAACAGAGTAGATGGGAAGGGAGGACTTGAGCATCCCAGCAGGGGAGGCTGACGTCAAGGAGGGCAGTACCACACATGACAAGCTTGGTAATCCAGAGAAGAATGGAATCGGGGGCGGGGGGTGAGGGGGGGCAGTGGGGTGGGGGGGGCAGTGGGGTGGGGGGGCAGTGGGGTGAGGGGGTGGGGGGTGGGGCAGTGGGGTGGGGGGGCAGTGGGGTGGGGGGGCAGTGGGGTGAGGGGGCAGGGGGGTTTTGGCTTCGGATAGAGGCCAGGGTAGGCAGCCTGGAGGAAGGGAGAGGGGAAAGAGGGGACAGAGTTGAGGGAAGTTAGCAAAGCCTGCCCGTGTATCTGGCAGATGCTGTAGAGGTGGGAGCCGCTTCTGCGGACAGTGGGGGACTAGAGCACAGTGTCCTGCAACAAACAGCAGGACAGGCATTTCCACAGCTGGAGCTCAGTCAACCCAGGAGCGCTGTCCTGGCAGCAGCGGCGCCGCACGCCCAAGGGACGGTGCCAGCGCCCGAGGAGGAAGCATTTCTTGTTTCTTGTTCTTACCGGCCCCGGAACCCCGCTTCTAGCCCTTTCTGTTGCTTGGATTGTAGACCAGGGCTTTCCCTTGCTGTCTCCTCACACTGGTCTGTGTCACTGTCCACAGCCAGCGTCCATAGCCGCCGCCGCCACACTGCTCACCAGGCGCGGGGCTCCGCGCGTGCGCACACCCTTGCTCATAGCCCCTCAGTCCGAGTTCTCTCACTCTACCAGACTCAGGTTCTGAGCCTCACTATCTCCCAACATCATTTTAACTAAAACCGTTAGGGGCTGCTGGGATCACTGAGTGCAGTGTGAACATCATGGTATTTAAATCCCCTTTTTGTACCCAATTTGCAGATTCAGAAACAAAACTTAAAGTTTAAGTAACTTACCTGAAGTCATGTCGTAGCTTTACCTTAAAGAAATGTCATAGCTGTGTAAGTGGGACCCTCACAGGGTGTGTTTGCATTACCTGCCGTGTGTGTGTGTGTGTGTGTGTGTGTGTGTGTGTAATAAAGCGTATGTTGTCGTTACTTTTGCATTAGTGAACTTTATTTTATAGCATCTTTACTGTGATATAATTTAAGCACTCTGTAATTAACTATGTCTCATACAATATGTTTTTGAGATGTAATCATGCCTGTGCCCAAGCTGGCCTTGGACCCCCCTGGATTACAAATGTCTAACATCAAGTACAGCTTAACACCGGCTATTTATAGTTTCTGTGGCTGGGCATC